ATATATATATATATATATATATATATATATATATATATATATATATATACAAACGGATACAGTTAAAACTGTATAATACATTATCAATGAATATGAGAAATAACCAGGGATCGGAAGTTCTAGCAAATCATTGACCATCTATACTCTTTTAAGAGTACATGTTCTCTTTTGAGCTCTTAAAATTTTTGTGCTCTCACTTTTTTTATATTGGCAAGAATGTACTATTTTTTCTATTTATATTTAATCCCGAAAATGCAAATACATTTTACATATATTAAATGAATCAATATATGGCAACAGAAAATAATAAAAATATCAGTTGATGTAATTTAAATAATACAACATTATGATGACATACAGTAATTAATAATTAACAAAACACATATTAAATATTATGTTATAGACTAAATAAGGTAGGGTGCTCATTGGCTAAACGCATCATTCGATCAATTGGATTGTACTTACCATAGTCATACATTAGTTAGTATAATGGAAAGGAATTACAAAAGGATAACATGATCTAGAAAACCGAGATATAGCTTTATAGTTAACTCGGGAGCATCAATATACCATTAATTAGATTACTCAAAAACACTAGATTCGCTGTCATACGTTTATCAACCAAGGAACTCAATCCAAGCGTATTAGATACAGAATGGTAATGTTAAATAATATAAAACATTACCTTCCTGTATCTTGAGCTCTATTCCTAAAATATTGGCAGCAGATGATAAGAAACGCCTCTGGACTTGCTCTATATGTGAAGAGTCAGTTATCGTATACGAATCCCAAAGAACGGACGCATACTCTAGTAAGGATGGTACCAAGGAATAATACAGCGTTTTAAGTGAGGTCAGCTTAAAATTCTCGCACGTTCGAATAACAAAACCTAGAGTCTTGAATGCACTACAGTAGGCTAACTCAATATGTGTATGAAAATTGAGGTCAGAACAGAAAATAACACCCAGATCTTTTTTAGTAGTGACCATATCTATACTTGCACCATTTAATCTATTTTTTATTTTTTATTTATTTAATTAATATGTTAAATGTTAAAATATCATTTTTGTTGTTTAAAATCAATTTGGATTTGCATGTTTTCTTTGAGCGAATCCATGTTGAATAACCGCTTATTTTGGAATTAAATTTAAATGTAAAGTTAAAAATGTTTAGCAGCAATTGTTTGCCGTTTTAGTTTAACATTTTCGTAAGTTCCATTTTAAATACAATAATACACGATAATACACAATAATAACCTACTAACATAACTTATGATAGTTTTGTATTTGAGGAGCCAATATTTAGTATATTTAAAACTATTATCACTTGTTAAAATTTATAATTAAAACTTAAAAATAAAATTTGATTTTTCTTACAATTTTGTTTCTAACATAACATATTAATTAAATAATATATGAAAATAATAGCACATAGGTATATATGATGCATATACACAAAAATAAATAAGGTGTAAATACCTATTTATGTTATCGTATCAATATGTATATAGTATCTGTATATATTTAAAATTGTTGTTAACTGTTTATAATTCAACCAGTCCAGATGTCTATGAGTCAAAAATTTGTAAAATTACATTTAATTTTTTTCTAATAAATTTATAATTTTTTCAAGTTAAATGCATATTTTTTTATTTTTTGTGCTATTTATAGCGTATATTTTAGAGTTTTTAAGCGCATATTTAAGAACTAAAAAGTAAAACTTTTAGTACTACAACTTCCGAGACCTGGAAATAACATTTTACTAATAAAATGGAATAATCAAGTGACATATAATGGTATTATAAAATATAATAAATTTCAAAGTAAAACAAAAATTTCATTATAATTTTTTTTTTAAAAATCTTAAACTAAAAAAAATTTAGATTTATTATAATATTTTATAAATAATTCATTGGTTAAAAACTAAAATTCGTCAGATTTAGGCTGATCACAAACAGAAGTGGAACGGAAAGAGTTACACAACAATTTTAAATTTTCAGTGCCTAAATTGATATTAATCTGTTCTAAGTACGAAAACATTTTTGAATGCCTCAGATTTCCAAATGGTTTTATCTGTTGATTTCGACCCATAGACCGTATTGTGGCCAAATAGTCGAAACCTGTTCTATTTTTTCGATTACAATAATCTAAACCTATTTGTTCTAGTATATCCTTTGATATGTTCCAAATCTTTTGTCGCCAACTACAAATAAATCAATTTTGTATACAAATAAATATACCTTTTATAATACATACACATTATAAATATTACATAAAAATACAAACGTTATGTAAATTTATAGTGGTTTTGTAAAACGAGTAGTCAAATTTAAATATTACTTTTTGTTATCAAATAAGCAATAGCTACTATGTTGTAAAATAATTAGAAACTATACAAAGAAAATACCCTCAATAATTATTAATTAAAAATTTAAGACAAATAACAATAAGTCAATTGTACTGAGAAATAAATGTGAAAAGTTTCAGAATATCTCATTTAGCATTATGATAATAAGTGTAGTCCTCTTTCCCAACCCATCATATGGGAATAGTGTGTCTCATTATTTTTTTTATTCGTTTAGATGTTACCTACCACATAATACTTAACACATGTATTTTTTTATTAATAATTACCTCAATTCTTCAGAATTTGGGTAAAGTTTTGCAGCATCATAATTTCGTGTATTAATATGACTTTGTACCCATTGAACAATATCTGTGGAAAGCTGAATAGAATTATCTGACCAATGATGTGTTTCTATTAAATTAGCACTGTCTCTTGTAACAAGGTGATGCCAAAAAGGCTGTGGATCTAAGGAATCATAACTCTAAAAACAAATAAATACAACAATATTCATTAAAGACTACTTCAATAATTTGACTGAATAATCTAACTACTAACCTGAGTTTTTGAATATATCAAATTTAATTTTGACAGATCATCTAGACTTTGAGATATAGTTGTTATATCAATATTGGACTTGGCTTGTTCATATTTTTCTTCATTTGTAGGATTACACCTAATCACATATGGCCAATTCCACCAAATTGAATTAATACTACTTTTATAAATGATGTTAGATGTTTTCTGGATAAATATTTATAAAAATTAATCAGGAGAAAATAAAAGTTTTTTAAAATATTTCATAACTTCAAATATGACCCTTACACTTTTAAGCAAGTGAATAAATGCAAACACTTATGATTTAATATGAATACAAAAAATAATATGCACATATTGAAGACCAGTTAAGAATAAGTAATGTAAACTAAGTTGCCATTAACAAGATGCTTAGTTCTAGACTACTGTCAAAAGCTACAAAAGAGAAATAGTTCACATATTTGTAACCAATAGTTATATATATAAGATATTATCTATATATAACACAGGGGAATAAAGAGAAACTACTCACTTTTCAAAATTAAAAAAAAAAATTTGTAGAAAGTTCACAGATCTGTACAAAACCAAAATGGAAAATATGAGAGATCAAAACACTATGGAATATAAATATATATTATTTCTTAAAAGCAAAATTATTGGAATAGGCTAATTATGTATAATGGACTAAGAAGTCTTAAATATCCTGATCCGAAACCCAACAAAAAATAACCAACGGGAACACTTTGCCAGCAATTGTTTAATATGGTGATAGATACCTCAGATTCTGATGAATCAAGGTCAAGATCATGTAATAGACCAGGATGAATGGGAAGGTTGGAAGAAATGCGCAAAGGGCCTTATTGACTTGTATAACATAAAAAATATATTAAAATACATTACTCTATCATCAATCTTTCCTGAACTTAAAATATATTGTAATTGAAGTGTACTTTGTCTGATATCAGGCTTAAAGGGATGGATAAAAGCATTTACTTCATCTTCTGACATAATAGCTCCTTCATTTAAAGCCATCAACTGTAAAAAGCAACCTTCAACATAGAATATAATGTTAAGAATAATATTGTATAAATAGAATATGATAAATTATATTTTATGGTTTCTCACATAAATCTTCTTTTGATGGATACATAAAATGAAGAGTGATTTCATTCGATGAAAGAAATTTCAACAAATGATTATTAAATGGGTCATTTGCTACTAATATTAATGGCCTTTTTGAGTCGTTAGCTATAGTAGATATTGCAGCCAGAAATCCATCATCATAATTTTCAAAAAATATATCTGCCTATATAAAACCAAGGAAATAAAAACTAATTATTACATTTTTAAATTTACACTTTGTCAATTTATAAGTATATTTAATACCTGCATCTTCAATCAATATTATTGTCATTTTTTCATTAGCATCTTCTTTTTGTTTTTGATTTTTTGGTTTTTTCTTTTTTCCTAAAGATTAAATATTATTATTAAAATTTACAAAATACTAGGTTTTATTTAAACAGTACATATTAAAATAATTACATAATTTTTTTTTTTTATTATTATTATTACTATAAAATTTTTACTGAGTATGTTGCCAACTAAACTTCATGATAATTACAAATATAGTTTGACATAAGTTAATATATGCAGCATGAATAAATTAAGAAGTGATTAAGGTATATAATGCAAATATAAAATTATAGTTTACAGTGGAAATTTCCAGTTGTCTTGTGGACCTCATTTGTGTTGGCAATGTTTGGGAAATTTGGATAAATGGTAAAACTATATTCTTTCTGATTTCGACAATTATGTTTTAAATTTGATAGATTTTGTTTTATGTAACTTTAGATAGTGGGGTATTTTAAAATTATTATTATGAATTATGAAGTGTCGTATTTCTGATGAACCCGTGTTGATATTATTTTTAAAATTTTAAATTGATATATTTGTATTTTGTTGATGGAAGTATTTGAAGCCGCTTCCCATACTGTTGATGTATAAAGTAAGAGGGGACATAGAAGATGTTTTTATAGTAATAATGAACATTTTTAACTTAATTTGTCATGTTAATTTAGAAGTGAGTATAACATCTTAAGTCTTTGATAGTCTTATTGTAGTTTGCTTTCTACATTATTAGAATTGAATTCAATTCTTTGAACACTTTTATATTGAATAGTTTACACATAAAAAATATAAAAAAGGACTTTAAATTTAAGTTTTATAATTTATTAAATTAAGAAAATATAAGTTAATTATGTAAATACAATAAAAAGCATATTTAATAGAAATAATTAACTTTACAGTTCAATTTTGTTTTTATTAATTTTACACGATTATCAAGAATTATAACTGTTATTAATTTGTTAATTTGTATAATAAGGTCTAATATTGACTCTATTATTATATTTATTAATTATTATATAATATTATTAATAATATATCAATACATTAAAATATTTATTGTAAAACATATACTTAACCTTTCATCATATTAAAAAAACAATTTTTTTCCACTGCATGGGATTGTGTGGCTTCCATTAAATCAGTAGTAATACGTTTTCCATTTCTATTGCAGGAAGCATTCAATTCTATTACCTATAATAATGTAAAGAAATATAAAATACAATTGTTTATTAATGAATTTTTTTTTTTTTTAAAAACTACTAGTATTATATTAGTGAACTTATAAATAAAGGTTGTTAAATTGCTATTATTTTTAAGAACTATCAACAATAAAATTACATTTGCATTAATTTCATTGGCTACAGCATAAACTGCACTGGTTTTTCCACAGCCACTGGGTCCAAGTATAATAGCTACATTTTGTGGAATTTTATGGTTGGAATCACTATCACTATAAAAAATAAAATCCTCATCGTCATCATACTTTTGACCTAAAAATCATTTATATATCTTTGTTTATAAATATTATAATTTTGATTATCACAGTACATAACATAAACTTACTTTTAGTTGATAATTTTAATTCTTTTTTAACAGGTTTCAACCAATTTTTCAAACTCTTAACAAGTTCACTGTTGCCAAGAACTTCTTCTTTACACATTGGTTTATATTTATCAATCCACATAGATTCAATAATATTTGAAGATTTCTTTGCTAGTAAATGTTTTTTCTTCATATATTTATGAAACTCAGAGAATGGAAAATTTGGAACCTGTAATACGTAAAATAAATCAATAAATTAAAAAAAAAATATTTATGTAAAATAATTTTAGATAATACAAGTAAAAATTAATTAGAGATTATTCTTATAGTTATTATTTCTGATTCAGAATTTTTTTATGATAAAAAATTTTGAATCAAACTTAAACTTAGAGATATAAATAATACAAGTCAGAAAAATATTTGAAATTTGTTTGACAATCTAAATAGATGTCATATTTCATAATAATTAATGGTTTATTAGATATCTAATGAAATTTAATTAATATAACAATTAATCAAAAAAACGCTTGGTTCAATTGCAAAAATAACAAAAGAATTAAACAGCTTTAAAGAAAGTATATATTTTAATTAGTAATAAATAATTATGAATTAATATAGTATAAACATTTTATGCCTATTTAATAAAAACAAATTAATTAATAAAAATGTTGAACATTTCTTCCTAAGGGATATTTTTACTTTTAATTATCCTAGCATACTTTAGTAGAAAATACAATAAAATACTCACAGCCTTTTTTAAAGAAGAAATCATGTAAGGAAGATGGATTTCGGTTTCATAAGGTTTTAATACTTTACGTTTAGGTTCAGTATTTAAAATTTGAAAAGATGGCATAGAATTCTGAATATTGTCATCATATAATGTTTCTTCATTCAAATGTAGTATAAGATTTGAACAGCTTAAAGGTGCCACCCTATTGGTATGAGTGATTTTTGGAAAACAACTCAACTCTTCAACAAAACTACTGACATAAGACAAATTTTCATTTTTCCTGCAAAAAACAAAAAAAATTTAAAATCTAACAAGAACCACCATGGTTAGGTTAGGCATCATAACATACTTAATGAAACAGTGGTTGGAAAACTGTGAAGTGTTCATAATTTCATTATTTTCCAGTGACGATTGAGAACAATACCCTTTGCTATTGATGCTTGCGACTTTATTCGTCACCTTTGTTGTTTTGTTAACCACTTTAGCCATTATCGAGTCGTTGCTCTGAAGATCCATACTGCCAATTTTTTTATCATCCAACGATTTACCAAAAAACGCAAAAAATGCTTTCTTCTGACGCAAGTCTCCATTGCAGACGATCGCCGTTTTAACATTGGAAGCTTCTTGTTTATCTTTCGAAATCTTTTTCTTTTTGGTGTCGACTAGAACGCAGTCGTCCGACGACCGTTTCGACGTTTTACCGAACATCTTATGTTGGATCACGATTCGTCAATCATCTTTCGAAATCACCATCGTCAACGACGGATCGACCATGAGATAACAATTATTGGTGGTGGACAGCAACCAATAAACAAGAGTTCTAAAAATCAGAGAAGTAGTCAGCTTTCGACTTTAGAACCTGGGGTACCAGATATCAATACAAAAACAATTAGAAACTAAAGAAACCGCATTAATAAAATTTATTCAATATTCATTGATAATACTTATCGAACGCACTGTTCCCGCCAATTTGTATTAAATACCAGAATATTGATTCTAACCACGGTATAAGTTAACTAAACCGTATATATATATATATTATATAGATATATGTATATAGTTTATATATATTATCTGCATATCTTAAACCGTGATTCTGATAAACCCGGCTTAATAAATCACAAGTTACCTCACTAACCATAAGATACCGTGAAATTGATTCGATCAACTTTTGAACGTGTAGTTACCGATTTTAATAGTAATAATTAAATATTATATAATAACAGTATTCATAATAACAAAAGGCTCAGAAAGTGTTGAATTTGCATGATTTTATTGCTAAGTAACCTTGAAATTATTTTCATGACACTTTGAAAAACCTAATGAGAACATTTTGAAAGAAAATTTCAAATTTCAAGCTATTTATTTTACTTATATTTTATTTTATCTTATATATTTATACCTAAAAATTATGTTTACCTTAGTATAATATACAAACATTTGTATTGTTATGTACGAGTATATTTAATAAAATATCTTTATTTACGAATATTTTTGCGTTAAAAAAAATTAAGTGCATAATTTTTAAGCATATTTGTACTTTTTTAAGCGCATAAGTGCATGCATTTTAGTAATTTTAAGAGAATTAAGTTCTGAGCCCTAATAATAGTATAATAATATATAATTTTTACTATATAATTTAATATTCATCAGTTATCATTTATTGAAACTTATGAAAATATTTCATATCTAATAAAATAACTGCGAACATATGTAACCAAAATTTGATAGCATCACCATAAGATCACAGATATCTATATTATATTATACGGTGTAGTGTGAACCCGGCTTAACCGTTTGACTAATAGATTCATAAACTTGCTTATAGTAGTAACCAGTCTCAGAATATTGTCAACAATACCGGGGAATATAAAGTGGCCCAAACACGCAACGATTTGTCGTCTAACAGCATTTCACAGATCTCATCACGTGTATGTATGTTTTAGTCAGTAGTTGTAAAATCTGGTACGAGTATGTGAAAAAGCATACATGTCCAAATTAATCTAGATAAAGTTAATAAATAAAATAAATTAAAATATCTAGATAAAGATAAAAGATAATTTCATTTTTATCTAGATAAAAAAAAAGATATTTTCAAAAAATGTTATTTTTTTGGTCAATATTTCATATTCTAATAATATCTATGAAGACTGAAATATAATCAGGGGCGTATTTAGAAATGTCTTATTGGGGGGGGGGGGGGATACAAACCAAAAGTTCAAAGTATACATAGATATAACTTTTCCATCTCAAAAAACTGTAGTTATTCATAACCAAATAATCAAAATACAAGTGTTTGATAGAAACATAAACTTTTATTACACAAATTTATAATAAAACAAATTTATAAAAATAATTTTTATAATTACAATAACTGAAGACGTTTGGACAGTGGCGCTTTTAATATATACACGCTCGGGCCAAAATAATTTTCCGCCCTTCCCCTGTATCAAAAAAAAAAAAATATATATATAAATAAATTCAAAGCTAAACAATAAAAAAATTAATTTTATGAAACAAATTATAAATCAGTTGTTTTACGATATTGTATTAGATAATTTTATAGTAACACATATCCTAACGTTAACCTAATTTTTTTTTCAAAGTGAACATTCCTTTCTTAAAATATATATATATATACATATATATATTAAATATAAAAAACGGAATTAACACTTATTATATGCACAATGATTAACAATACCTAGTTTTTTATTAGATTATATATATTATATTTATTATTAATTATATTTAAGAAAATAATCGATAGCTTATAATTTTTTTCTTGACTTTTGAGAAGAAAAATGTTCAATAATATCATTAAAATTAATAGTTTTCGTTAAATCAGCATAAATGTTGAGGTTTGTTATTTAATTAAGACGATTTTCTCCCGTTGTTAATCTTAATTATGTTTTGACCCTTTTTAATGTAGAAAATGATTTTTCCGTTGAACAATTACTTGAAGGTGTACAATTTACACACTGTACATACATAGTAGCATCCTTAGAGCAATATCAATATAAGGACATGCTTCAACTAGACTATTCTCTTTTATAAATGCATTACAAATACATTGAACACTTTTAGGTACAATTTAATCCTTTTGTAAACTTTTTAAATGTGCCCTAAAGTGATTACCGCGTTCTGTGTGCCCGAATCTTTATTATAAACATTGAACGAAAATATAATATCTTATCGAATAATAAATTTAATATACCTATTTTGCTATTTTACTATTACCTAGGTGACTAGGTATAGTATAATTTTTTTAATTTCTTATTAGGTGCTCAACAATATTTTTTAAAATACTAAATAATACCGAAAAAGGAGTGAAAATTAAAAAAATCATGAATACATCAATAATAAAAGTTAGAATATTTTGCTGCTCCCAAAAATTTGCCCCTTTCGTCCCCCCTTAAATGCGCCACTGCGTCTGGGGTATTTATTAGCATATGTATCAACTATTTCTTCAGGTTTTATAATTATTTCAGGGTGTATATTAAGGTATATTAAGGTGTATTAAGGGTGTATACAATGCTAATCCGTTTAATCGATAGTATCATATTATCATGATATATTGATATTCCAGTATTTCACCGAGTGCCTGCGTGAAAAAGGGCCTACAATAATAAATAAAGTATAAAATACGGTGAATGGGGGAGGGGGGGCACAATAAACACAATTTTATGTCAATGTAGCTAAAATAAAAATGCATAGGTCTGAGCGCTAAATAATAATAATATGGTTTTACCCTTAATATGCTAAGCGCCCCCAGACGAAATAACTCAGTGGCTTAATATAATATAAAATAACTATTATAATAATAATATATAAATATATTATATTATATTATAATATTATATAATTGTTATTAATATTTTTCAATAATAAATTAATAATTTTTCTTAAAACCTAGTATATACATTAGAACATTTCAAAACTTTTGTTGATGTCATCAAAAAATTGCCACCCCTAAAAATTTGTCGACCGGGGAAGCTGTCCTCTTTGACCCCCACCCTTAACTCGGAACTGATTTTAAATTATTATTTTGAAACATTTAATATATACATCTTTTAATATTTATTATTTAAATTTGCAGGTACTTAAGTTTAGGGATTTTCCTTCCATAATGATTTGTTTGCAACTGATCCCCCCCATACAAGAGTTATGTATATGCCACTGGTACTGTGTCCTATTATATTATTTAGTAGGTATAAAAATTATCATATTTAAACAATATAATTTGGGATAGCCGCTAGCATTGTTGCTCGGCGCAATTCACAATTATCTTTACGGCTTCCAGATAAAGTTCTCCAAAAAAGTATGTACAATAATAATTATTGTACATAATAATTTTTATCAGCGATAAATAAATAAGTTTGTAACAAGTGACGACAATATGTAGTTCAGTGGCTTATTGGATGGTATACGGCGTAAACCCAATACGATAATTTTTAACCATGGCGTATCGCTTATGAGAAATTGATAATACCATTGATAATACCTATTTTATAATCAATGATAATACGCGAGTATACCGTCAAGGGCGGATAAGGGTGGGGGCCGTCTCGAGTACTCGAGTGAAATGGGCCCAAACAATTTTAAGCTGATACATATTTTTTATCATACTAAAACTAGTAGTTTTATAGACATACATTGTATATACCTATTAATTTTATAATTTTATAAAGCAAATGACAATTTATGAAATAGTAAAAAAAATGTATCACTCTGCTCGCTACGCTCGCAGCTTTGTAAAGCATATTTTTTCAAAAGGGCCCATATAAAATTTCAACCTCGGGGCCCAATTGGTGCTTAATTCGGCCTTATTTAGCGTATAGCTTGTAATTTGACAAATATAAATATTAAAACTATTGGTTATATTTATGACATGATTCGGTATCGGATATATTATTTTCCTTTTTTTTTTTTTTTTGAAAAATTCAAATTTGTTTTCCTTTAACAAGTTTTCACTTAAAAGTGGGATCCCAAACGTGAATTCGTGGATGATAAATCATAGATTAGCAGAGGACAATAGAAGTAAATTATGTCACCCAGATGTAGATCCGAATAGTGAAAACAAAACAAGTCTTTGGAAAATACTGACGTAAAAAAAAAAGTAACCATAATTTTTTTTTTTTTTGATTAAATTTTTTTTGTGTGTCATGTTATAAATTTATACCATAAATACATGCTTTCTAACTTTAAAAATAGATAGTCCATTAGTTTAGCACGTTTAAGTATTATAGAATAAATACAAAAATATAATATGCTATCAGGTTTTAAGTGAATACAAGTAAAGTGAATATTGTTTGAGTGAAGCAAGAAAATTTTTTTTGTTTCCTACCATTTGATAGTTACTACATGAAATAAGGCATGCTTTATATAAATATCCATTTATGTGTACCCATGATTTATTATAGCAATACATCACTGATGTAGTTTATTGACTGTACACAATTTAAAAGATTTTCTTTTAACTATTCATCAGGGAATTGTTAAAGACAACGATCATGGAGTGCTGCGCATATTTTTTAGTATATCTGTACGTAATTTTCTTATTTGGTGAGTGTTTTTCTATTTTAAATAATTTTAAAATTATTGTTATTATTAAGCGGATAAATTATTTCAATAGGAAATTAAAAATACTTTTCGATGTCTGACTTCAATTTTTGTATGTACGTAACCTACCTATGAATTCATTGACATTTCATCTAGGCCATTAATAAAGGGAATCCTTAATTTACAATACACAAAACTTTAAAATTAATACTTTATATTTTTAAAATTCTGTATTATTATTGCATTAATTTGTAGGGATGGGAATTCCAACTCATTCTGCTGAACTGAATTTTGTAAATCAATTCAGTGTAATGAGTTTAATCAAAGAGTCGGCTCTCAACTTTCAACTCTTTGTTTGAATCAGATTACCACTACTTTAATCAACTCTTCAAGTCTCGACTCTTGATTCGACTCACAAGTTCACAGTCCATATTCGTAAATATTTTATCGTATATGAAACTAATTATGACTATAAGCGTACAACGTTACGAATTTTTCTCAGTAAGTCAGAAATCTTGTTTAAAGAAACAATAGAAATATCAATAACCAAATGTGAGGGAAAATATTGTTTAGTATTACATTTTCCGTTTGGATTCGCAAACCGTTATCAAGGGAGTCGAGAGTCATGTATCTACAGTAGTACAGTTGTGAGTTGTGAGTTTAATTGAGTCACTGAGTCGCCAACTTTTGTAAAACTGATTCGACTCGTCCAGTTCATTTTTAAGAGTCAACTCACTGAGTCGACTAGCTCATGAACTACACATTTCTATTAATTTGTATCAGGCTCAAAGCTGTTTTGATCCGTGCCAAAGCGCTATTATTATTTTTTTTTATTACTATTGTTTTGGCCATTTCATCATTATTATTGTTTTGTAAAAATGTATTATTTTCATACATTGTGTTTGGTGGCGCAACTAAAAAAAAAAATTTTAAGGGAAGTTCAAGCGCCCAGTAGTTTTCTTTAAATTAAATGTACATAATTTTGATAGTATTCGTATTTCAATAATACGGTTTAAAGTGCAGTCAGGACCGGCGCTACAAATTGCGGGGCCCCGAGCAAAATAGTTGAAATAAAATAATACACAACAATTAATATTTAATATATACTGAGTATATATATATATATATATATGTTATCGTAAAATATGTAAATTAGGCAATAACAAAAATGCTTAGCTAATATTTTAAATGTTTAACATTAATAGATGATATCATCAATGCCTAGGCATTAATTGACAACAAAGGGAGTGTTGTAAAAATCGAATATTCTGTTGGTACATTTACAGCTATGAATAGGAAATTACCTAATATTATTAATATTTAATACTGATATGTAATGTAGATATTTTTGTTTAGCGAAATATTAAAATTAGGTTTGTAATATTTATACATAACTACTTATATTCACAATTTATTGTATTATTATACCATGCCAATTTGAATTGCATAAAATATTAATTTTTTTACAAGTACATCTATTATTGTTGCATCCTGTTTTACAAATACATCTAGTATATCTTTGTGATTTCGATCACGAGATTCCATAGATACATTAGTATTATATAGAGGAAGAATAACATTTTATTTATAATTATTTAACTAATAAATTTGATTTCAAGTTGTGTATTTTTTCTGCACTGGCCATTTACGATATGGATTACGTAACCTACTTTAAACGTTACCCGGCAAAATATATTGCAACTTCATTATAATTGTTGATTAAATGATTGCGATCTCATTCGACATTGCCTTGCGTAACAGCAGAACGATTTTGCGTCAAGGTATCTCAAGTGTAAACTTATCAATACCATCAACAACACATTCTGCCGATAAACTAAATTTATATAACTTACTGATTAAAAAATGTGCTAATAATAAAGATTATATGTAATATATTATACGTAATATAATCTTTATTATGAGCAAATATTGTATATATTGTACAATTATTACATTATTATATTAAGTTAATGCCTTTGACGTGAAAAACTTTAATCTAAATTATTAATAATTATTATTACATAACAATCGATTGTATCTAGTCTTTAATCATCAAAAGATACTAAATACAATTGTATATCAGATACGTATCAGATACTAGTATCTAAGATACTGCTCAGCCCCGATAACACCAAACGAACAAATACATACTACACGATACTAATCAACCGGTGTTGGTGAGTTGCGGCCCGATCCCTAAATAACGTACGAATTGCGGCCCATGTTTATGAAACAGGCGTACGAGTTGCGGCCCGTGTTTATAAAACAGACGTACGAATTGCGGCTACATTTTACATTTTATTTATCACTTCATATCAGCCTATCAACGTTACTCAGAAGACACCACGAGGAGGTTGGCTGAGTGGTCTCCCAAAAATTTGTTTTTTTTTATTTATGTAAAAATGGCAAAATGTATGGTAATTTATGGTAAAATGAATTTTAATATTTATGTAAAATATGTAAAAATATATATATTTATTGGTTGGGCAAAAACTTAAAACTTAATGATTTGACGAAATCAAACTGCTCTATTCCTTTTTGTGCTAGCTTTGTCATCTGTTTTATAAATGCTTCTTTTTCACATATTTTCTTCGTTTTTATTCCATTGCTTCTATCGTTTTTTAGTGTTTTGTGGAAACGAAATTTGTAGCCTTCGTAGAGAATAATTGGTTTTGATTTTTCACTATTTACAAACTCCATAGCGCACTTATAATAAACTGTATAACACACTCAAACAGAATTTTTAGTTTTCGAGATATAGATACTAAGTGGTGAACAGACTAACACTGTAATATTTTTCGTTTGAACTATTGACGTTATGGTATCTACTTTAGATAAGATACTGCCGATACTGCCGGAACAAAATTGAAAATAAATAAATTTCCCGGGCCGCAATTCACCGGTCTTCAACACGTAAATGACATGTCGGGCCGCAACTCACCTATAGCCAATCAACAGGATATCATCTAATATATATATAATTATCTGAATAATCTCTCCAATGTTTACTAATCTCGACGTACTATTCCCAGGAATTGAACGTCACCTATAAATTGTGGGAAAATCGGTTTGCACGATTTTCGAAATTCAACGACGGTTTCATGGCAGACTCAGGTATGTTAGACAGACGAACATCTTTAGTTATAGTATCGACTCCGTTTGTGTTTTCATGATTATACGATTTTTACAGCGACCCTTTACTCCGGGCCTCCAGAAGTTTTGACAAAACTGATGGCTTCCCGGTGTAAGTCGCTGGGTACTGTGATAGACCTGTTTTGCGGTTCCGGTGCAATCGCGATCCAACTGGCCATGGTCTGCCACAAAGGTATATTGCTGACAACTTGAAAATACAATTATTGTCATATTATTTAACACGTTAATTTTATATTAAATCGTAATGTATACTAACATTGGACTCGTAACGGTTCGCGTTTTTTATGTAGTCATTGCGATGGACAGTGACCCGGTCAAAATCGCGTTCGCCCGGAACAATGCTCGTGTGTATGAGGTCGAAGACCGAATCGCCTTCCTGGTGGGTGACTTCTTTGTCGATGCCCACTCGCTGCAGAGGGCAGACGGCATCGTCACGTCACCACCAGTGAACATGACTAAAGAGGAAATGGTGAAATTAACCAAATTGGCAAATAGGGTGGCGCCGAAAGTCTTAATGAGGTTAACGAAGGACCATGAACTGTCAGATGTAAGTCCACAGATCGTGTTATGAGAGAATCAATACCCATATAATGTTTATTTTTTTTTTATAGCTGTACTAATTAGAGAATAAAATATTTAATAAAATTAATACAGAACAAATATGTATTGACAGGGAGCCAAATTCTATTTTGGCTTTCCTAGGTCCCGGAGTACGTATTTTTTTATATCATTAAACGTTTACAATAATTAGGCATAACTATAATCATCGGTCCATTGTTCAATTCACACTTGCAAGTTAATTTTGTATGTTAATAATCTGTTTTAGATGAATACGAATAATTATAACAGAAACGTAAATAGGATACAAAAGAAAGTGCTTTTGTTTTCTGATGGTAAGTTGTAAAAAGTGTACGATGTATATAGATAAAATAGTGTTTTTTCGAAGATCTTGATACCAATGATAACATTATTTTTTAATTTCCATAGGGGTATCTGTTAATCGTCGTGTGCATTGGATAAGAGGTAATAATCTTTTTGCATACGACGATTACCTCAAAAACGTTGAAGAATTCTTGAAGAGCCAAAATCTCAACTGACAGACGATTTCTCAACACAATCGGAAGAATATAATACAATTGATATCTGATAGTAAATACTATTTATAAATTATAATCAATTATAAATTATATAGATAAGGACATATTTCAGATAAGGAACATTTAGAATTTTCATGAATCATTTATGAGAACTAATACATTATAAGCAGTCTTAATTTCATGAAAAAAGCGTTCTAAAGATATAAAAGTATTATATTAAATAGATAATCGTTTAACATTTTTATATATCTATATGAAATATACGATGAACAATTTTTGTAAGAACATCGTTCGGCAGTTTTATATATATATACCCGGTATGAGACCAATCTTGTAATCAAAATAATGACTTAAAATAATATACTAAAAAATAAAAATATTATTTAGGAAAATTGTATAAATATATTATGTAGGTGTAATAATAGAAAAATATTTTTAAAAAAAATAACAGATACCTCCAAGTACTTCATTTTGTGTCTTATTTTATTTAGCTCTGAGTTCTAAGGGGATAATTCTATTAACCCCTCTGTCCCTTAAAATAGAACATTTTCAATAAGTGAAGTATGAATATTTTTAGGATTATTCTGTTTTAATTTTGCCAATGACCCGTTTATTGAATATAAATATTACATTTTCAACAAACACCCGTACCGAGCAACAATTAGATACCACAATAACATCATTATTGTTAAATCGAACAAATAAATAAATTATATTTTATTTCAGATACACATACCATATAATATATTTTGAATTAGAATTTGAATTAGAATTTTGTATTTATTCTATATCCATTGAGAGATTAGAAACATTGTTAGGTTGATAACTGTTTGTGTAAAATATTACAAATGACTGGTTCGAAATTATCAAAAGTAACATTTTAAATACTATTAATTAAACATTTTAATAGCTCTCCTAATAACGTGATTTATTATTTCTAGATATATTTCTAGCCTAATATAGCTTGGCCAAGCTTTTGCGCATCTATTAATACTAGAACGTGATTCGTTTAGAGAAAGTTATGTCAACAGCGTTAAGACCATTAAAATACACGATATGATATCTACTTCGACAAATGGATTCACAAAGGTAACTATTTAATATTATTCTAAACCGAGTTTAAAATATTGCACAGACTTTTATCGATTATTCAAAACCAATACGAGTTGATTTGGGGTATCGAGGTATAAAACGATGAAACAACTGAAATTGATGAAACTAAGCCATCGGTTTAAATATTAATATAATTTGAGTAGTATTGATGTTTGTGAATTCGTTGAATAGCAAATTAGGATGGTGAAAATCGGAATTTGCGACAGCAACCGGTTGGATTAGGATGAATTAATTTCGTCGGTTTTAGTTTCAGATCCAGATCAGTCGATTCCGAAGGGATCTCGTTTTAAACATAGACAAAAAACACTTACCGTTCAACTAATGACTTAATTCATTCAAAGTGACTGTTATGATTTACTATATGATTTCGTAGAAGAAACGAATTTAATGCAGCAATGTAATAATTACATATAGGTACTATTAACAATAATATACATATAACATATACACTTATCTTATACGGAGGATGTCGATCGACATTTTGACTTATAATTTCGAAATATTTAATTACGATAGAATTATAAATATTAATTCATTTTATCATGTAAAACTAATTAATAAGATAATTAATAATTAAATAATTAATTTAGAAGTAGTAAATGAATTTTTTTTCTCCAATTTTGTTTCCCATTTTAAATTCCAACATACAATAAATATAATTTAATCTTAATATTTACAAGATATTATTTAACAGTTATTCCCTATTATAATATGTTTATTGAAAGACGATCAAACTAATTTTATTTTATCGATAGCTCGCGCAGTATTGTTTGAAAACATTCAAATTAGATAAAAAGCTTCTTTTAAAAGCAAACCACTTGTCAAAGATAATGGTATTTTTAGGATAAATATTAATATTTTTGAATTCTTATATTAAAATAAAATTTATCTGTTTTAATATTTTATAGATTCAATAAAATACTTCAAGATGAAGAAGTTAACGCCAGCTCACTGAACATGAAATACATAATCAACGAAATCGAAGATGACTTAAAATATTATATAAATGTTTAATTACTTAAAAAAATTTTCTTTATTTATTTTATTACTTTAATAACATTTTACATTTTGTATACATAATATTTATATTTTTTTTCTTGCAATATATAATGTTATTATATTATTGTATATTTCTATTTATTGATTTCTTATTAATATCGTCGCATACATGATAAAATGCATAATTAATAATGTAAGTAACATATTTAAGATTAAGAAAAACTGATATTATGATGAATTTACAAAACTATAAAATATAATAACTAAAATTGGTGTAATTTTATTTTTACATGGAAGAAAATTCATATAATATTCAAGACAAAGTGCAACTAAATAAGTTTCTATATCTTTGTTTTCAATTGAATATAAATATTTATAAGAAGCAATTAAAATACAGTGGATTCCGCCTAATTAGGCATAGGTTAATGTCTAATTTCGAAAATGGGGGTGCTAAGCACACTCAAGCCCCCTCCCTAATATTTTTCAAGTGATTCTGACGATGTAATTAACTAATAGTTATGAACAATTCATCTTTCTGATAAAAGCATCAAATAAAAATATATGAAATAGAAAAACACTATTTTTCCACACAATTTTTCAATTATTAATTTTTTAACTGGGGATGCTAAATTAGAACCTGGGGGTCTTTCAAATCATTAATTGATTTTTACCTTCATAGCTACCTTTATTCAAACTCTTATGAAGATATCAATTAATATCCTTTCTAAATATTCCTTTAAAAATTTTTAAGAAAATATTCATTCCTATGATTGAATCTTTCATTAACGACAACTGTAGTTGCTCACTACGAAGTTTCCAGAAATTACTGGTTTCTTCTAGATCAATGATCGACTTTTTTTTCCTATTAAAAAATATTTGCTTTATTTTTCTATTACCGTTTTGGATCTCATTTCCAACACTCGGCCTAAATATTTCTTAGATAAGGGATTCGATATTCTACTTACAATCTTCATTTTCTTATGGCTTAGTGGCACAGTCCCTGAATCATGGCTCCACTTTCACATAATTCCTGTTTTTAAATTTCACACCACTCCTACTGCATATCATCCTATAGAAATAACATCCTCCTTATGTAAGTTTGTAAATTATATTCTTAAAAACCATCTTGATCGGAACTTCGAAAAGAACAAATTGATCGATGACAATCTTTTTGGCTTCCACAGAATATAGCACTATGGATTGCTTTTTTTCCTTTGTAGGAAAAATATATCAATTTTTTTGTGATAAAAAAATCCATCTATCCACTTTTGTTGACATGAAAGTGATATTTGATTTGGTTCATATACAAACTCTTATTTTACATCCCTCCAGTTTATCCATTCCTTATTCTTTCTGCGACTACATATCATCTCTCTTCTCTCGCTGCTCCCTTTTTGGCCCCACAAAATTGCATGGTCTACAAAGGACTTCCTCAAGGTAGTCCATATTTTTTATTGTATATACGAATTCAACCAACTCATATCGACGATATGTCCTCTTCGCCTCTGACAAATAACTTTATTTTGCAATTTCTATTTTAAATGAAGTTATCTCCACATTTTCTACATCCCTACTTCTTTCATTTTTTTATAACTTCCAATAATGTACATGATTTTTACTTATAAACGATATTTAACAATCCCAAACGTTTTTATCTATACTCAATCTATCATCTTGGCCAACTCTGTAAAATACCTAAGCTTACATATCGACTTCGATTTTTTTTTGGATTCCTCATTTTTATTACTTGATAGACCAAATATCACAATAAGTCACATAGTTCAATAGGGGTACAACGGTAGATAGCTTCCACACAGCGTACACCGGACAAAGTTTATCGGCTAAAGATCTACCACTGAACACGCCGAGAACCCTTTATCTTCTTAAGATAAAGATTAAGATAACGAACTACCACTAATTCATGGCCCAATAGTACCATATTTCTTCAACAGTGGTAGATGGAAGTGGCGATATAATATTTGTAACTAAAAATATCAAACAGCAAGCCATCAAAAACATTAACAGACCCATCCCTCACTCACAATATTGCCCAATATCATGTGAAATCCTGGCTAGAATTACACCCCTTAAAATTCTTTCCAAAAGAAAATTCCACTTCACAAAAGCAAACTGGTCTGCTTTCTCAAGGAATGTAGAGTTAAAATCAATTCCTGCATTCCACGTAAGTACGACTCCTTTATTGAAATAGTTAAAAAAAGTGTCTATAAACCATATTCCTAGAGGCTGTAGAGTAAACTATATCCCTGGCCTATCCCCGGAACAATACAAAAATTATGACAACTTTTCAATATAAACCCTTTCAGCGTTGAAACTTCTGAAAAAGATGTACAACTTATGCAAATAATCGTCGAGGCAAAGCGGACACACTGGCACTCACTTTTAAATGGAATGAACATGAAGCATAGCAGCAAAAAAAGCATGGGACCTTATTAAAAGACTTGACAGCGATCCCACAAAATTTCACAATATAAGGACAATGACTACGAATCAAGTGGCTCATCAACTACTCCTAAACGGTAAGACCAATTAAGAGAATTCAAAGGGCAAAAGGAAAAATTGGTCAAAAATTAACAAAAAAAAAAAAATCACAATCATCAATGCTAACATGTTTTCGGAAGAACTAAACCTAACAATTAAAGAAGAAATAATTAAAGAAATAAATAATTTCTTAAGAACAGAAAAGCTGCAGGCTATAACAGAAAATATTAAACATTTTGGAGAGGGCGCTAAGAACTAGCTTTTTGACTTCCATAACGAAATAGTAAATACCCATCATATCTCCAAAATATGGAGAAAAGCAGAGATCTTGCACTCCTATAACCTGAGAAGGACCCCGACGATTCCAAAAGCTACCGGACCGATCTCCCTACTATGCCATATGTACGAACTTTTTGAAAGACAAATCCTAAACAGACTAGGTCCTATTGGTGACAACAAACTCATTCAAGAGCAAGCAAGCTTTAAACCTTGGAAACCATGCACAAGCTAAATTCTCAACTTAACTCAATTTATCGAAACTGGTTATGAAGAAAAAAACATCACCGGCATAACCTTCATAAGCCTCACAGTGGCCTATGATACCGTAAATCACAATTTACTTCTGGAGAAACTATAAAAACTCACGGAAGACCATAAATTAGTTAAAGTGTTGAGACATTACTCCGCAACAGAAGGTTTTTACTTTAAGGGTACAAAGAGCAGATGGAAAATCCAGAAGAATGCGCTCTCCAGAGCAATGTATTAGCTCCAATAATATATAACGTCTATAAAAACGACTAACCTATCCCAATACATTCGGGTGCAAAATCCTTTATACACGCATATGACGTAGCTCTGGCAATCCAAGGTAAAAACTTTGAGGAAGTAGAATGTAAGATGAATTACTTCTCTTCGGATCATACTAGTTTATTACCAAAAGAACTAGTTTAAATATAACCCATATAAAACCCAGATATGTACATTTCATTTACGTAATATACGATCATATCAAAAACTTAGGATCATATGGCAAGTATAATAACTTGAGCACAATAATTTCCATAAATACTTAGGGGTAACACTGGATCATTCGTAAACTTTTAAGAAACACTGCGAAAAGACGATAAAAAAGATAAACGCAAGAAACTCTGATTAGGAAACTATCTGGATCAACCTGGGGCGCCAACGCTCACACTCTAAGTCTCTACCTTTTCATTGTGCTTCTCAGTGGGAGGATTCGCCAGTCCTGCTTGGAGCAGATCTTCACATGTAAAGTAAGTTGACGTCACACTCAACGAATCATATCGCCTCATAACTGGCTGCTTAAAGAGCACTCCAATCAGAAAAATATTTTCCCTAGCAGGTAGTGTCTCTTCTGACATCTATCGGGGAGTCAAGGCTGACTGGGAAAGAACAAAGCAAAAATACGATAAATTACACCTAATGATTGGAATTAGACCTTCATCCACTCGCCCAAAATTAAGGAAGAACCTTCTAAAATTTACACAAATATTGGAAAGAAATCAGAACGAAATTTGATACGAAATAAGAAAATAACAATAGGCCAACTTCCTTCGATCCTCCACTGGCACACGATTAATTATCATTGTTAAAGTAAAAGCTGATTATGGCTTTTTCCAGTCCTCATCCACCTCCTTCTACCTCAGGAAAAAAGCCAACTTTTTTTTAAACTCCTGCCTACATACCATAATGGAGGCCATTCGCTATACCCTATCTCCAAGCATAGAGGTGGAATGCTCATGCCTTACCTTTGAGCTCTGTAGTAGACAACTCGTATGTAAATTAATTTTTAAACATCTATGTCCACTCCCAATTCTTCAATCTTCTCAGATTTTTCAAATATTTATAGAAATTTATCTCAAAATCTCTCCATATTCTAGTCTTAGTCACTCCAACTCTTTCTAATTTTTTAATCATATTTCAGTCCCTAATTTTGCTTCCAAATCTGTGATACACCCTTCACTGCTATAATTTCCAATCCTCATATTACAATCTCCCCAATTTCCTTAGTCACTCACCAAAAATCATATTTCATTCCCAAATATCCTCGTTAATTCCCTATTTTCTTACTAAATTTCTTCCAACTTCTTTAACTCGCTCCTTATTTTCACTGGCAGGTCATCATCTTTTCAGGATATTCATTATTTATACCATAAATTTATCGTTTTCTCCCAACCTCCTTCCATAAGCATTTTCTTTTACACCTGAAGTTTAAGCCATCATTCCCTCCAATTAAATTTTTCTATAAATTCCTCAATGTTCCTAATATTTTCCGATTTCCAATCATGAGCACTTTTTCTAAAATTTTTCTACTTCTTCATTTGGTTGTCATGATAAAATCTTCAACATATCAACTTCTCTTATCCCATAAAATCGTTGAATACCTATGGGTTCCAAACCAGATCAGCATCCAATCCAAGGCAATAAAATAGTTGTCTTCTAGCCACCTCCACTAAGAACATAATTTTTCTGTTTTCACTAATAATATTCATGTCTGATTTCCTTTCCATTCTTCTCTAAACTCTAAAAAAAAAAAGTAGCAAGGACCGATTTCTGGTCTTCTATTGCTCGTAACTTTGCTTCCTAACACAGATATATTTCCTCATCCATCCTTAACCCCTTGTTCCGGGATCTGGAACTTCTCTGATTTACAACTGTCTCTTTTTCTTGACTCCACTCTGGTCATAATCTTGTTTGGTCCGAATCATTCATTTATCTTTCACTGAATTTTTCTCCCCTTTGCACTCTTCACACGCACGAAAACCATATTATTTTGCAAACTCTCATTTCTTGGATTCTCTTCTTCTAATGTAATCCTTTTTCTCAATTCTCGTTTTTCTTCAGTCATCTCACTTATCATTATTTTCTTCTTAGTCATAGTTTTCAACTATTTATTTAAATTGATTGTAAAATATCTTACACATTTTCATATAGTGCAGTACATTTAATTTTTGATCATTGTATTTTCACAAAAAAAAAAAATATATATATATATTTATACATAATTTTCTAGCTATAATACCTTTTAGACAAAAGCAAAAATAAAAATAAAAAAACAACAACTATGATTATGAAGATGCTTGCATAGTTTGCTTACAATAATAATTTATTATAATTGTAAAGCTTTTTATAAACATTGACTTAAATTATGCCTAATTCTTGTATGGTATAACTAAACAAATCATTAAACATCACTAATATCATATTTTTAAGTACAACTCAATATTATCGTTTCTTATAGAAATAATTAAGTATATAACTATAATACCATTATTACAATAATTAAAAAAACATATTTATTATTATTGCCGAAACAAATAGCTTATTTTAAAATTTGTAAAGGTTATAATAAATCACCATATGCATTTAAATTCATTTTAAGAAATAATTAGAAAATGTATATTAATACTAACAAATGATATCCTGTAGGCACTTTGTCAGGATAAAAAGATATAGTTGAGATAAAAGACAAACTTGTATAAAATCAAATGAATTATCATCCTATATTAATTCTATAGAACAGTTTTATCAATAGTTAATTAATTAATTAAGATTAATTATAAAATAGTATCAGTTTACAATAAAATTATAGTGTATACACTATTCACTACTTTTATAAAAAACAATTAAATGATTCAATATGAATTAATATTTTTTCAATGTGAATTTGAAAACTAACTGATAAAATCAAGGGAGCAAGATCCTTAAATAATTTAATACATTTAACATAATAATTTACCATAGTATAATATTAAATAATAACAGAACATTAAATTATGTTGTGACAATCAAAAAGAAATGTAAAATATTATTCAGTTCCTATAAATCAGTATTTTCAATATTATATTGACACCAAATTATTAAAAAAAAAAATATATATAATGATAAAAAGTTTAAGTAAATACATTTTCTTTTTTAATTTTATAAATAATAGGATACATAATAAGATGCAAAACAACTTTATTTTTAACACAAATAAAATAGTCATAAGCCTAAAAATATAAAATCACAGCCGGTAAAATTATATTTACCATAAATTATAAATAATATAAAAAAATTACACACAGATAAGTTATTTTGTATCTCATCAATATTGTATTATTATAATATAATATGATTAATCATCATCTTCAATAACAATTACTCCTGCATCTTTAGATCCAGAATCCCTAAAAAAAAAAAAACTAAGTAAAACTATTCCATTTTTTGGTTAAATATTAAAATAAACATACTTAAATAAATATTTTAGTCTTTCATATTCTTCTTTCATAAAACTAATTAAATGTGGTTCCAAACAAAGTATTGCTGCCTTATAAATCTCATCTACTATTAATATAGAGCCATATGAATACTCAAAAGTCATACAATCAGTCCATACACCTTAATTAAACAATTACAATTAGCTAGATATGTAAGAGAGATATTGTTTGGAAATTTAATCTCACTTACCAACATCTTTTTTGCCAAATGTATTGCATGCATCATTGTATAATTTTCTGATTGTACTTATTTTAGTGATTGATGAGGACTGAGATTTTTCAAATCTAATCATACTTGAGTACAGTTGTCTACACTCTGGTTCTATATCTTTTAATTCATTGAACAATTCACGAGTTGCAAGTATGCCATTGTGAAGTACACACCATTCTAAGTATTGAGGTCTGATAAATGTATTTACTTCTTCAAATGGATAACGAGCACCTTCCTGGAACAACTGTTTCAGCTAAAAAGAAAAAACCTGTCTTTAAATGCAAAAAATAAACAAAAATAATTCTTATACTTAAAAATAAGTTATGTAAGTAATTAAAATTAACATTAAAACATTAAAACAAGTATAGAAAAATTAAGAATAAAAATTTAGTTTATTTTAAAGTTTTTTTTTATATCAAAGATCATAATGAAATTGAAGTATACAATTTTGATTACTTGAAATAATTCAAACATGAAATTTATTTAATATTTAAAAGTAATACATTTATAATACTAAACAATAAATATAGAAATAAAAATAAAGTAGTGCAGAATAATGAATAATATTTTTAGTAAATATGAGGTATGAGTACATTGTTTTTTTGTGATTGGGTCAGCATGTATGTATATAAGTGAATATTTTATCATTTTTTTTACTATCTTAATTTGGTAAGTTGAGAAAGAATTCACTAAACGCATTTTGTCATAATTATAGTAATTAAGTAAATAAATCGCTTAGAGCAGGACAAGATGGGAAAATTGTAAATAGATCAGTGCATGGTTATTGTTGATGTTAGGTTACACCTAAATCTAAATAATAATAAATAAAAAAGTCCAATCTATCGAGATAATTCCCAAATTCCTGGTGAACCCCTGACTCTTGAGTTAATATATTATATTTATCATACCAATTTAGGATGAGTATTTTGCATATATAAAATAATCATTTGCCACAAAGGAATCGAATTCTTAGTCAAAGCCTTAACACCTTCTTGAAAAGTTTCAACTGCCATTTCAAGACTATCAAAGTCTATATAATATGATAATAATTTGGTCCATAGTTCAACACTATCATTTATTACTTCAACTGCTTCTTTTAAAATCGTATGGCAGTCTTTATTGGTGTTTTCAGCCTAAATAAATTAATACATTTATATAAGTTATATTACTATTATTATATAATGAAACATACCCAATAAATATAATGTTCAGCTTTACGAAGTGCTCTGTTATCATGGGCTTCTTGAAATGCTCGCTCCATTGTCTCATTCATAAAATTTCTAATAGTTTCTTTTTTCATACGATAAGATTTTCTAATTTCTATCACATGATCTATGTAAAAATTCCATAGATTATGTTTATTTTTTGGCGGTAAATTTTCTTTTAATCCATCCTCATATGTCTTAATACAATTTCTATAATGTAAAACAACATAAAAAACAACATTTTGTGTTTTGAAGTTTCAGCTACTTTTACTTACCTTATTCCGCTAATATAATTTTTATCATAGTGCAATTGTTCTGTTACGTGTTGATAAATAAATCCATCAAAATGAATTTTAGCTAATTTTTGCCACATTAATTCACTATGTCTATATTTCTTCACCATATCTCTATATAATAAAAAAAATCATAAATATTTATAAGAATTAATTACAAGGAGTTATCTATACCTGACAACATTGCATTGCAGTTCCCTAACTGCACTTAATTGTATAGCTCTATCTAATAATATAAAATGAAATTCCATGTCGCCTTCAAAACGTTTTATGAGGTTTTTATATTTTCCAACAGCAACAGGTAGTGAAGCACCGGCAGTCTTTTCTAAATGCTGTACTTCAACCCAGAATTCTTCTACATATAGACTTTTACAATTTTTATGATATTTTAGTCCTTCTGCAAAGTACCGTCTAGCTGTTTCAACATCATTACGATCATCAAATTCATAAGTTGCTGCAGTGATGTATACTTCAGGATCACTATGATATCTTGACATAAGTGTATCAAGCATGTTACTACATTTTGTTATGAATAATTTCTGAAATCAATCATTATTCATGGTTAAATATGGAATAAGTAATTAATATTTCATTGATGAACTAATTTAAATTCAGCTATATACAATTCACATATAAAATAATTATTCTTCATTTTTTTTGACATTTAAATGTACACAATCAACTTTTTTAATATTATTTTATAATTTCATTAGAGTGACGCACATAAAATTATTTACAAATGTAAGATATTTGATCATAAAAAATAATGACTTTTCAAAATACTTACAAAGAACCAACTTAGTTATCCTTTATATAAAATATAAAACCTACTTTCTTTTACTATCAATATTTTAGTATATACAAATATATATAATTATATTTTCATATCCCAGCAGCTCTTAAATATACAAATTCACAACCTTGGTTCTACAATCTTAGCTGTCTAAAAAATCCATATCTCGTTCACCCATCTTTGTTTTGGCTACACATACTTTTAAACAGTTCCCCTTACTGCACAATTTGTAATGATCCTATAATCCAGGGGTGGCCAACATGACTATGTACACGAGTTACATGTATTAATAAGATTATATTAAGAGTCAAACTATCTAATCGGTACTTTTATACTACAAAAGTAATTAAGAAAGCTAACAGTCAATAAACATATATATATATATATATATATATATATATATACATATATAAATAATTAAGTCAAAATATCGTTAAAATTTGACTAATGATTATCTCACAGAATTACTAAGAACTACTCTTACATCAATTCAACCAGATCTTAAGAAGCTTACTACAAAAGTAGAAATGAAAAAAATACCACGCAAACAAATTTAACTTTATGTTTAATTTTTTAATTTATTATTCTAAAAAATTTATTTTTTTTTTTTTATAAATGTATATAAAAAAAATTAAATATTTTGGTTTTTGTAAATAAGACCGCGAGCCGCATACGACTATGACGAGGGCCACATGAGGCTTGCGAGCCACAATTTGGCCACCCCTGCTAGAATCTATGACATCACTAATCTCATTTTCAATTGTTCTGAGCTATTAATTCAACACGCTAATTTAATTACTCCTCTAATATAGTTTTCGATGTACCCAGTTTATTTTTGACTAAATATGAAAATATCATTATCTCCTTAATCTTCTAGACCATTTTGACTTTTTAATTTAATTTTTAAATCATCATTATAACTGTCAAAATTAATAGTATAACAAAAAAAAAAAAAAAAAGAGTCTGTACAAATTACCCATTTAATTGATTTTTTAAATATCATTTTCACAACTGAATTTACCAACACATTTATGGAATGGCAGAGGCAACTGCCTTAATCAATAAGTATTAAGAATACAGAATATTTTCAAACAGAGGAATAAAGTAAATAATAATTATTATTTGTGCAATGTAATGTGTACAAAACAATATTTACAATATAGTTTTAAAATTCAAAGAGTTAGGTATCATAGATGAAGATATATGATTACTAACTATTATTATACCAGTTAGGTATTTTTCTCAGTAAACCATAAATCTTTTAAGAAAATAAAATATAAAATTCACTTAGTGTAAAATTTTTTTGATAGTATGGATAATAAATATTTCACTTACATTGTTTGAACAGAATTCGATATATTCTGATAATGATGTCTTTTCAACAGGAAACATTAGAAACATATTATTATACATGGCATTGATACGGTTTGACAAAATGGTAAGTATTTCAGTGCTAATGTAAGCGGCATCATTTTCTTTCATTTCTTGCTGTAAAAAAAAAAATTGTGACAATCGGCACACAATATTTATCAATAGATGACAATCCTACATCAATTTTCAGTTGACACGTGTCCAACATATTTAATTCAACTCTGATCTGTTTCAGGACTTCTTCTCTGGTGGCTAACCCAAGAGCAAGATTCTGATCAAGTGTTTTACGGTCATCATTCAGCTTTCTTAAACATTAGAAAAAAAAAAATTTATTATTAACAATAAAATATATATTAATATGAATTTTGTATTATAACTAGATGAAGCACCATATTAAGATGCATATCTCATAAACCTAACGCTTACATAAGCTCGTCCCATTTCAAGATGCTGTAGGTCTTCATGAAATGGATCTCTGCGTCTATTTCATCCGCCGACATGACGACACAGTACTATATCGGGTCTCAACAAGGGGTTTTCAGTTCACCTAACGACATCCACAATCACTCCGTCAACAGTAACAACGGTCCACGACGTCGAACGTCAGTCAATTATTTTCGCGTATCCGTCGGATAACGAACGCTCATGATTATTGTAAGAGGATGCAGTAACATGAAATAGTAACAATGATCATTCGACCATTCGAGTTAATCGACGCTGGGATATAAACCAAAGACGGTAACAAAAAACGACAACGACTAAACAGACAAATTACAGTAATTCTACAACGACGAGGACTGTTCGGATTTCGTAACTGGTGACGCGCTAGTAGACGTAAAAATCAATACCCCGTCCCGACGGACGGCGCCTGCGTTATCGTTCCGTAATAGCGCAGATTATAATATTTTCGACACATTTTCGTACACGATCCACGGTAATACGCGCACCTGGTCAGTGGTCACGAAATCCGTGTTCGTAGTCGTCGAATTTCTCGGGCCAGCTCGTTTTCAGGTTTTCAAAATACCGGGACGCGCCTCTGCGGTATAAAGATAAGATATTATTGGTCAGCCTGGTACTCGAGAGCAACATTTTACCGGCTCTGTACGCCAACAACTGGTGCTAAACAATTTCGAAAAGTCACGGCGCTTCTATCGTGGATTTCCCGGGTTTCGATCGTAGTAGTACAAGTATTGTCTGAAAAACCGATACCGTGGGCGGCGCGCGTAATTGAACTCGTTCCGATCCACGGTGCTGATGACGAATAGATACGAATCGTTAACGTTCTCGTTTTAAAGGGAATACACTAAAACGTCTCTAGTGACAATCGTTAGTGGGCGGTGGTTGAAGACTATTTTGGCTAATATAATGATTCGGTATTATACGCACGCCGCCGCCGAACCCCATTGCCAACGGGCCATTGGTCCTTTATTTATCATTGTATTTCAAAAACATGTACCTAATAAACTAAATTAGAATAACTGTAGAATAACTTTGTTTATGTGAGTTTACCTACCTTGATGATTATTATCATAGAAATATACAGATATTTATATGTCTGTGATTAATATTATAACAACGTATGTTGCGCTAGCAATATTTGATAAGAACGACCAGTGGCTTCCAAAATCTGTAACATTAATGTTAATCAAATTGTATGTTGAGTTACTATTGCAATACGGATTAACTTATAATGCGAGACTGATAAATTTCAATATTTATTTAATATAAAAAGCGGACATTATATTTATACGGTCGCCAAGTATATCTATAATTTGTTGAATATATTTAACTCAACGACTTTGAGTGGACTGCAGTGGCGCAACCAGGGGGTGGACTCCGGGTCTGGACCCCCCCCCTCGGTACGTATAATAGTATATTAATATCATATTCTAGATATATATATATATATATATATATTATAATTTTTTATTATTTGTATATTAGTTTATTTTGTCAGACCCCCCCCCATGAAAAATTCCTGATTGCGCTACTGGTGGACTGTATAAAAATAAAATAATCGACTACTATACTTATACATAACATATACCTATTAAATTATAATAATAAAAAAATATTTAACTGGCTCAATAATAAAAAAAATAAAATCTAACCTAATACATCATCCTAGACTACCCAGACCTCCAAAACATTCGAAATATCTTATCGATACCCAACAATTTAGAAGAAGCTCTCTATGAAGACAACACCATAAAAATCTTAAATTTCCTTATACAAATTAACATTGTAAACAAACTTTAACCAATATATATTCTGTATTCATAGCCTAAGACTATTGCAACATTTGAAATGTAATTATTAATGTAACTCACACAACGTAACATGTACACAAGGCTAATAACCTCAGATGTTGAAGCCTTTTTTTTTCTTCGAATAAAAAAAAAATAAATAAAAATAAATATGTATATTTATAATTTTAAGAGGAACCTCACTGCATGTAATTACGTCTTACACTATATAATAGAGGTAGGTCGGTCGCGACTGACCGAATCAAAATTAACGAATCATTCAAGTGACCGAATCGCGACCGAATGATTTACCAAAAAGTATTCGGTCTTTCGGTCAAATCGATCTTTAGGTCGTTTGACAGTTTTAAATGAAACTTTTCTTTCAGATGGAATCGGATCGGATCGATTCGAATGGAATTTATTTTTTAACACACTGTTAAGTACGTTGGTCACACTTACGAGTTACGACATTTTCACTTACAACTTGCAGTATAATATTTATAGTATTTATAGTATATTATACAACCAGCAATGCTGTCATACTGATATTATTATCACGTATTACGTATTTACATATTATTATTTATTTATATTATAATATTATGTCTACCTCACGAGTCACGAGATAGATTCAAATCGCCCATTACTAAAAATTGTTTTATTGATCATTGATCCATGTTTAGGTAATCAGTTATCAGTTATCACTAATTATTCACTATTTTACTAATCACTAATCAGTAATGAGTAATTATAATCAATACTATATAATTTGTTAAGTATTTATAATTTATTATTTCGTGACTCATGTTTTACTGTGTTACTTCTTACTAGTTACTAATTTAGTATAGGTTCCTACGTTATTATATTGTATTTTATATATTATAAGGCTGTTAAATGTTAATTAATTGTTAATATTGTTAGTTACACTTATAACCACAGAGGAAAGAGTTAAGAATGCAGGCCGACGAAATGACAAATACCATTTTGTATTTAATATGCATTCCGAACCATGCATATAGGCGGAGATTGGGGGGTGCTTAGCCCCCCCAAACAGATCGAAAGCCCCTCCAAATGTCTAAACATTTTTCATAGTATAAATTACTATAAAATATTAAAATAGGTATTTATTTTACAACAATTGCCAAAATCTTGGAAATTCACAAAATATTTTTTTTCTTGAAATATTGTTCAATGTCAATATAATAATAATTATTTATTATACCATAATTATATTAATACCTAATCGTCATCAGTGCGCGCCGGCTGACCGTCGCGACGGATTGTTATCGCATTATCGCAATGACAAAAATAGAAATTTCCAACAGTCAGACTTTGATAAACATTATTAATGTTCCGATTGGCCCAAACTCCGATTGCCGTGATGACCGTTTCGTTTTTCGTGTAGCGTCACTAACGTTGTTTACTGTACAGTTACAAATACAGTACACAGAATTTACACAAAGTAACGTACAGACAACTGAAGATTTCTATAGAATAAATGCTTACTATGTAATTCTTGACACACTAGTTACAAAGTTAAAAGAAAGATTTTCGAATGATAGTTTACAAATGGGCGTATCTGTTGATAATTTTTTTCAACTAAAATTTGAAGAAAGTCAATTTTTTATTGATCATTATCAAGTAAATCTTCAGTTTTTAGTTTTATTATAAAAGTCATAAGTACCTACAATAGTATATTTTAACTGTTTTCAGGGGTTATTGGATTTATCAAAAATTAATATTCAGTCAGAGATGACCGTGGCAAAAAACAGCATCTTGCAATCAGGAAATGAAATAAATTATGAAACAATAAAACAAAATATCTTTAAAACAGTGTTTCCTAACTAATACAAACTATTACAGGTGGCCATAACAATACCAATCAGTTCGGCTACATGTGAACGAAGCTTTTCTGCAATGCGCAAAGTTAAGACATGGTTAAGTTACGCACGAGTATGCTGCAAGAAAAATTTAATAACTCTTCAATATTATATATTGAAAAAGATATCAATACTGATATTGAGAACGTTATTGATATATTTGCAAATAAAAATAGATTTATTGTATTAAAATAATAAAATATTTATTGTATAATAAATGATTTCTAAAATGCATAATATATAAAGTAATATATTTAGTAGTTTTGAAATTCAATAATTTAATAGGTATTGAAGAGTGAAGGTAATATTAATATTAGAGTGGGGGTGTGGGGGCAAAGCCCCCACAGCTTATTTTGCAAAGAAACATTTAAGCCCCCCCTAAAATTCAATCAAATCTCCACTTATGACCATGCATGTACTTTTAACATTATTTAGGACCGTTCTGTTAGTACAGGGGAAATTATGTGAGTTTATAATTATTGTTAACTATCAAATATAAAACCATTCAGTTACTTTTTTAATTTTCAATAAAAAAAATTTAAATAACCTGTTAATAAAATAAAACATAAATTTTCCTTTTTACATGTTGAACTCATTAATTTACAACAATTTTAAATAAAAATATAAATAAAAAAAAGACTTTAATCTAAATTATGATTTAGGAACAACAACTTTTCAACTTTGTCAGTCGTGAGTCTTGACCGTTTCTCCGTCAACACCATGTCAGTCTTAGAGAAAATGCGCTCGCATGGAACTGATGTGGCTACAACGCATAACCTACGACAAACTAATTGGTATAGTTTTGGATAAATTAACTTACGTTCATTCCACCAAACTAATGGATCTTCCGTTCTTTTTAATAAAGGTTCAGCAATGTATCGATCCAATTCTAATATACCAGCTACTGTCACATTCGAACCACCACTTACTGCAATAACTCTGGTATCAAAATCCTTCCAAATAGTCTCCGGTCCAGAAAGTGGACCAATACCTAATGTTGCTTCTGGTTCTTGAGCATCTTGTCCGATAGATACGATTTGCACTTTCCTTGATAAAGATTGATATGCCGATTGGTATTTTTGATCATTTGGAAATCCTTGTTTTTTGAAACGTGGATCTAATAATATTGATTGCATCACAACTTCATTATTTTCAAGCTGGTCAGATCTTGAATGTAATTTATCTTTAAGAATTTTTGCCACTGAACAAATTTCAGTTGGCATTATACTGTTATTAGTGAACCCTGATACATAGTTGACCATCGCCCTTGAAAATATTGTTACTTTAGATATAGATATATAATTTTCTGAGCTTATTTCATTAGTTACATCATAAAATATTTTTAATATTTGACATAGCACTTTCAATACATTCCACTCATCAAATGTGATAGTGTTTAGATCATTATTAATAATGGCTAATGTGGATAGCACTGGATCCTTTATTTTCAAAATTCTATAAACCATGTCATATGTAGAATTCCACTTGGTAGGACAGTCTTGCTTCAACTTTAAAACAGAATAACCACCTTGTGTCTGAATTTCATTTAGACGAGACAATGCGTAAGTACTGCGTTTGAAATATTCGACAATACTTTATTTAATATTAATTTCACTGCCTCTAGCCCAGATTGCACTATCAAATTGATGCTATGAGCAAAACATGGAAAATGCCTCCACTGGCATAATCGACTATATTAGCAACTATATTAGCAGCATTATCACTGACAATCATAGTGATTTTATTGTCTAATCCCTATTTATTCACCTGCTCTTTAAGGAGAGAAGACATTTCAACAGCTGTGTGTTTGGCTGTGAAATGTTGACAACCAATCAGAATTGATGACATTTTCGTATCATCATCGATATAATGTGCAGTAACAGCTACGTAAGATTCATTATTAATTGAAGTCCAAGCGTCAGTTGTCAAGCAAACTGCTGTTACATTTTTTAATTTATTTTTAATATTATCAACAGTACTTTCATATAACTGAGGCAAAAGGCTATTGGATACTGATTTTCTACTGGGAAGAACATAACCCGGTGCCAACATCTGTATTAAATTTTTAAATTCTTTTTCTTCGACGAGACTAAAAGGATGGCAATGTTTAATGATTAATTTTGCTATTTGAGAATCTATTTTTTTTGGTTTTTGTACATAGGAATTTATGGAAGTCTGGACGGGTCTAATATTGGTTGGTGTTACTGATGTCAAAATTTGTGTGGAAGTATTTGATGCTGGCATTCCCGAAGTAGATGGTTCATCTATATTATGTTCCTCAATATGCTCAGTCATGGTATTTGAACTATTTGAAGAATGATGGCGCGCCCGCTGAAAAGTTAAGAAAACACAAGTCTATAAATTATAATAGTAATCATAGGTAGTATATTATATTAGTATAATATTAAATAATTGAATAATCTAATGCTGTGATAATTATCATGGTTTATGATAACAACCACGGCGTTTTACTACAAACAGTACAAGCTACAATCTACAACATTATATTATAATCAATCTCTGTCATTGATTGACTGATTCATATTTCATAAGAAAATTGATTCACCTAATGATAAGAACGATATTTGATACTAGACCGAAATGACTGATATGACCGAATCACTTGACTGATTCGATTCAAATGATTCGAATCATTCAAACGACCGAAAATTCCCACCTCTACTATATAATTAAATCTTTAATCGAACCAAACCACACGTGAGTGCCTGGATCTATCCAAATGTATCCTTGGTACAAACAGTGCTCGTCTTGAGAGGAGACTCAGGGGGCAGAGTACTCCTAATTTTTAGAAATTTTTAGCGTCCTCCTACTATTATTACGTTATAATTATATCGCTTAACAAGTTATGGGAACGCAATTTTTTTTTAAGCAAACAAAGTCCTTCTTTAATAATGCCAAGTCGAGCATTGCGTACAAAAATCTTTTCTTTCGGACTGTGTAACTGTGTAAGTATACCATGGTTTCGTCTTACTACAACGCTAGGAGAATAATTTGGCAAACTGTATATTTGGGCAGCTGACTTATTTGCCCAGTTATCGGAATACTAGTCAACACGAACTTTTAAGATATACCTATAATTATAAAAATATGATATATTTCACAATACATCATGGACATTTTCCTGGAGAAAACTATATTTAAACAATATAAATAATAATCAGGACTCGGAAGTTGTAGTACTAAAAATGTTACTTTTAAGCTCTTAAATATGCACTTAAAAACTCTAAAATATGCGCTATAAATAGCACGAAAAATCAAAAAAATATGCATTGAACTAGAAAAAAATGTAATTTTACAAATTGTTAGGCTTATTATACACAGTCTGGACTGATTGAATTATAAACTGTTAACAGAAATATTAAATTACCTAAATATATTTGTAAAAATGTACTTATTAAATTATTTTATATATTTACCTTGGAAATTATCCTAGATTATTAAAATGTTTGATAATCTATTGCAATGATATAATAAAGGAATAACAATGACGTCATTCAGTAGCGTAATTGTGGGGGGTAAGGGGTGCCAAGTGCCCCCTCTGAAAATTTTTTGAGAGATAAAGGTATAATTTTGCCCCCCCCCCCCCCCAGATAATCCAACAGTACAAATAGCACCTTTTATTAATGAACTCTTATGGATATTATTTAACAATATTGGTACCTAGTACATGCTACCTACAATTTATGTTTATTTAAACCATAAAATGAGTTAAAAGATTCATGTAAAATCAAACAATTAAATATAGTGTATAAAATACATACAATAAAAATAGGTTTTAACTGATGAGGGGGAGGGATGTCAGGATTTTGGTAATAATAAATATATTATATTGCCCCCTAGATTTTTTCTCAGTTACGCCACTGACGTCACTAACTATTTATATATCAAATTGTCGATGAAAACATAAAATAATATTTGATGAGGTCTATTTATTTCCAATAATTAAAATATTTTTTAAAAACATAATCAAGTAAATACAATTATTATTTACAAAATGTGATTATTTCCTACATTATGTAAAAATATATCAGAAAAAAGCACTATAAACCCTAAATTAGCAAAATAGCAATAAAACTCGTAAATATGTAAAAAATAGTAAAATTAAATTTTGTGTATGATATCTGAGTAGTTAGAAACATATTTGTTTCTTACTTTGGATGTCCTAAGATGAAAAATATGCATTTGCTAGAACTTCCGAGTCCTGATAATAATCGTTAATTAATAATTGCACGAATAAGATGATTCAAATAATAACACTCAATTAATGACAGTAAAATAATAAGGCCATACTGTTAATAATACACAATTAAAAACAATTTATTTAATAACTCATTTCAAATATCTCGAAAAATAATACAAAAAAACCATTTATAATATAACGGTAAAATGTTACTCAAATAATATTTTAATATTCCAGTTTACAAATATATAACAAATCAAATGGTAAATTTTAAAATTAAAAATATCGAAACTCTACTGTCGGGCGAGATACAAGATTGGGTAAATGACATAGGTGCAAATAGGGGGGGGCCTTTAGGGGCTAAGCCCTCCCAAATAGCTACCCCAAAAATTTACTAAATTTTTTTAAGCTTTATCAGAATTATTATATTAGTATTATTACTGTTAATTATTATTAAGTATTTTTAATTTTGTGATGTAATTTAGGTCTAGTTACTTATATTAAATGTATGAATTTGTAGTTATTTGTATTTATATTTTAGCAGGTACTTCGATAAAAATGATTTAAGAAACTTTGAAGGAATAAAAGGCTGCATTCGAGTTCCGTCCCAAAAATAAAAATGTAATTTAAAGATATACTAGGTCCGTCCGTGGTTTTTTAAATAGATATACCAATTCCGTCCCGTGTCGAATCGAATAAATAACAATATCATATTATTTAGAAATAAAGATAATATTATTTCCGCTATTGAACCAAATAAATTTTTCAGTCGTTATTTGTGCGTGTCCGTGCCATTTAATATATATATATATATATATATATATATATATAAATTAATAGTATACAAAATATGTACAGTGAAAAAGGTAAAATTTTAATTATTAAAAATGAATTTAAATTTTGTTTTCACAAAGAATTAAGCAACAATATTGAACGATGAAAGTGTATTCAAAAACAATGCAAAGCAAAATATGATCAACTGATCTAAAACTGCTTTGTAATTACTTATAAAATACTAATTACCTACTCAAAAATAATTGAATAAAAAAATAAATAATTAATTACGATTAACTCGAACTTTAATAATTAATAACTTTTATTTGATTATTATTTTTTTCCATTAATCAGAATTGCCTGATCTCACTTTCGAAGTCGTAGAACACAATAGTAATTAATTAATAACTAACTAATTATTTATCATCTCAATTCATATTAATCAATAATCATAATGGATTTGAAACATTTCTACACCAAAATAATTATTTAATACTTCTTTTGTTTATTAATTTGTTTATTTCATTCCATATTTCCTAAGGTATGTACATACGAGAGCAATTTGGGTGACGTTTGGTCGTTGAGCACGATTGCTCGTTTATAGTTACTTTTGTTTGAGCTCCGTTCGAACGCTCGTACAAAATTCTACTCACAGTCAAATATTTGTGCGTGAACATCAATTTCGGGTATTTCATCGGTCACTCGGCGAACATCGATATACACGAATTGTTGTTTTAATTGTGAATTTATTTGAAGTTTTGAAAGTATCTGTTTAAATGAAGCCTCGAACAAAGTCCGTTATCTCTTTGAGCATCGTCAAAATATCGACAACGATCGGATCACGTTCGCCTTTCGCTGCGAACGACTTTTGGTTCTTAGCTCGACGTATACACGTGAACAATTTTGATGCACAACGCATGAGCATTTGTTGCATCTAAAAGAACCGAGGACTTAAGTGCGATCGGAACGATTCGTTCAGGGGTGGATAGGCCCTTAGGGAAAAAGGGATTTTCCCTGTGGGCCCTCGCCCTATATTATGTGGGTGGCCCCCTCGATGCCATTATTTTTTTCATGGAAATTTTTTTTTTTTTATATATAGTTAAATTATTTAAATTAAATTAGGATGAGTAAATATAATAAATTTTTTAAAACCAAATTTTATTTTTATTTTGGTGGCCTCATTAAAATATTTCCTTGTTACAAAAAAACTACCTAGCCACTTCTGGATTCATTCATGAACAACCCATCACTACTGGAGAGTAGTAGTGGTTCAAGCCGAGACGTTGACTTGTGCATTGTTTTAACATTAGGGATTAACTGATACAGATAATTATGTGTATTTATAAAAGTTGTTTTTACGTGAAAATATTTAAGTGTTTTTATTTAATTAAAGTTAACAATTCCTTGCCATACTGGAATAAACGTACACGTGTACGATTAAATGATCGGGAATTTGACGACCCAAATATCGTGATAGTCTTGTAAACGTTGCATATTATATAATGTGAATTGCATATACGTTTCTTATATCATGCGTTCTACAGTGTTCGCCATCGCAGCCGCACACGTGACAAACTATTCCTAGAATCATTTGTCGCAACAATACAAGTATACGAGTAAAATTAGTTCTTACAACCCTACTTAATTGAAAGCCGGGTTCACATTGGTTTAGTACTTAGCCGAATCACTAAAGCAAGTTACTAAATCGAGTACTAAATTCCGTCTAGTGTGTGTTAATATTGAATAAATTAAATAACACAAAAAAATAGCAACTAATAAAACATTTATATTTTATTATTATTTTTACAACTTTTAAAGGCAACGTTTTTAAAATTGAAGTTCTTAGCTGCATTTATCAACCAAAAAGGGCATGTTCAGATATCACTCTTCACGATTGAGACCACGGTTTAAAATATATTATAAATACATATATTTAAACCGTGATTGAGATATTATTATGATCACTGATAACGTAGAACTAAATATTGTTATGTAATATAACAAAATAAGAGTAGAATCACGGTCTTAGAAGATCTTCGAAGACCATGCATCAGATAACATTGATGTTTTCTTCTTGTTATCTTGTCTGCAGTGTAACCACCACAAATCGCATGCATATGATAATACTAACTCATGTTAACCACCCTAACCGCTGTACAATTCATATAAAGCTGCCTGTATGTTGTACGTCCAAGGTTCCACCTACTGAGTTCTGTACAATTGATATCGGTACACTCTGTAGTGAACACTTTTAGTTTCGACTTTTTCCGTGTTCATAGAGCTTTTCAATTGTCATTTCAATTATGTCGTTGTCGAAAACGACCAACACTTACAATCGACAGAATTGGGAGGATTCCGTGAGTATTGGCTTCTATTTGGTTTGTTTTTAATTGTTTGAGATTGTGGATAACGATTATCTTTTTGTCCCATTACAGTTTGATATTATGAATGAACCGTGCATAGTGTTTATCCTTTTAATGATGATTTCGTTCTTAGCGATTAATTTGTGAAAGAAATTATGGCGTAATTCTAGTTTAGCACCTATCGATTTTTTTAATTTTTTTTTTCCTAAATGTCTGTTATATAAGAATGCTATAGAAAAAGCCTGGACAAACTTCGTTTTGAAGTTATTGATGAAAAATTTCAAAAACTTCATTTTTTTCATAACGCGCATTTTTTTTTTTAAAAATACTTAGAATTGAATATTTAATTTTAATTTTCATATATTTACATTGTTATTGTCCCTGTTACCTACTTGTGGTGGTTTTGCGTATCAAGTCGAGGGATATTTTCGATTTGCGGAACCAAGCGATGGCGCCGAGGAGCGTATCGACGAGTGCTGAAACACTCGTATAATAGTTTCATTGGTCATTGCTGATACCACATGCATCGTTAGCAAAAAATTTTTATTTCATTTTCACACTATTAGACAATTTTTAGTGAATTAATTTTCTTAAATACTTCGTATGTAGGTGGACTGGGGTCAATTGTAGAAATTGACAAATCAAAATTCAGAAGGAGAAAATATCACAAAGGACATCTCTTCAAGTTTTTGAAGTTTTTCATCAATAACTTCAAAATGAAGTTTGTCCTGACTTCTTTTTTTTTTACATACTTATAAAACACCCTAAAACACACATTTTGGAAAAAAAAATTAAAAAAATCAATAGGTGCTAAACTAGAATCGTTCCGAAATTATTTAAATATCATATTTAAATGTTTAAAAAAATTGAAATTATTTTTTAATAATTAGATAATTGCTGTCATTATTCATATTATTTACTTGCCAATAGTTGTTTATGTAAAAACCTAGAGCTGCAGCATTACATTTGAGTTTAAATTTTGAAGTCCAATAGAAAACTTGCATACCAATGTTATTCATCCTCAAATCAAGCATAAAATATAATAATTTAATTTTTTTTTTTTACTATCAAATTTAATGGTTTTTTTTGGTTATAATACTAACAGTGTTAGATATTTATTCCAGTAATTTTTTGGTTCATAATTATACTAATGATAATTAAAAGTACTATATGAATTGTTAAACATATTATAATTTATAGAATTATGTATTTTATGTATGTTATAAATACTAACAATTTCATATATTATACTTTTAATCAACTTATTTAGCCATACATCATACAATTATTTTCTATCAATGCCATGATATATTGATAAATATCTTTATTTTAATTCTAATTTGTTATAGGACTTTCCAATTGTCTGCGAAACATGTTTAGGAGACAGTCCTTATTTGCGAATGGTAAATTATCGTTATTAAATTTGTATTATTTTCTAAACTTTAAATTTTATTTCAGGCCAAAGAGAAATATGGTAAAGAGTGTGAAGTGTGTGCTAGACCATTTACAGTTTTTCGTTGGTGTCCTGGTGCAAGAATGCGTTTTAAGAAAACTGAAATCTGTCAAACTTGTGCACGTCTTAGAAATGCTTGCCAGACATGTTTGTTGGATCTGGAATATGGATTACCTTTACAAGTACAGTTTTACATTAGTTACTGTTATTATGTATTTGATAATATTAATGATAACTTCTAGGTTCGTGACGCTGCATTGAAAATTAAAGAACAAATTCCTAAGTCTGATGTTAACAAAGAATATTTTGTACAAAATATGGATTCTGAGGTGATTTAAATATCTTGGTTGCTCTACAGCTTTATTCTCTACTAAAATTCTATAACTATCAGTAAATATACATATTTTAATTTTTTTATACAGTTAGCTAAAATGGACGAAGCTGGTGGTAAATGTCAAAATGCTAGTGATGTGCTAGCTAAAATGGCTCGTAAAGCTCCTTATTATGAACGTAACAGACCTCACATTTGCTCTTTCTGGGTAAAAGGTGAATGTAGACGAGGTGAAGAATGTCCATATCGGCACGAAAGGCCTACGGATCCAGAAGATCCACTATCAAATCAGAATTTCAAAGATAGGTATGTTTTGTTTATTAAATCTATGTATATATATATGTTTATTAGAAAAATTACAAATTATAATATGAATTACTATAGTTAAAACATCAATTGTATATGAGATAAGTATTTTTTAAGTTTATTAAGATATTTCACTTGTATTATCTATAATTCTAGTATTCCACTGATGCAATAGTTTTAATATTGTAATCCGTTTAGGTATTATGGTGTGAATGATCCTGTGGCTGAGAAAATGATGAACAGAGCTAGTGAAATGCCAAAACTTGAGAAGCCTGAGGACCAGACAATCACTACCCTTTATGTGGGCAACTTGAACGATATAACTACTGAGAAAGATTTAAGGTAAATGTTCAAAATTAGGACACTACTGTAATGATACATTATTTAATAATGATTTTTTCTAGGGATGTATTTTATCAGTATGGAGAAATACGCAATATTACTCATGTAGCTCATCAAAACTGTGCATTCATCCAGTATACAACCAGAGCTGCAGCAGAAATAGCTGCCGAGAGTACTTACGGACGGTTAACATTAGGTGGACAAAAGTTGAATGTACGATGGGGTCATGCTCAAGCACGTAAAGATAAGGAAACAACTAGTTTAGCTGCAATGAAAGAGATTAAAATGAAACCTACACCAGGATTGCCAGCTCCATTACCTCCATTACCAACTGAATTACAAAATAATTTTTTCAACATAGCTCCACAATCCGTGCCCGTTGTTGCTACACCTTACATACCAGTTATGCCAACAATCCCTCATCCAAGTATGCCGTACATTTCAACACCTCTTTATCCACCTGGTACAAGCAAATAGAATATGCAGATGCATTTCATTTTGCAGTTTTCCACTGATTTTTTAAACGTAATGTACTGTTTAGTAAATAAAGAATTTCAGTTATTACATAAGTATATTCAAAATAATTTTTTTAATAATAAAATTAATTAAAATATACTCGTATAATAATATGAGTAAGTATATTGATCATTATTTCCAAGCATTATAATAGGTAATTTTATTTTATTATATTTTTTTGCTATTGAGTAATTTTTAATTTCTTATTCGTATATTTTAATCAAGTATGGAATATTGACTTCATTGTTTTACTACAAACATTTGTATATTTATTGACCTTTTTCTGTCCTCTAACTCATAAATAAAAAAAAAAAATAGTTAAATGACCTATGGTTTAAATGGTGATAAATTAATCATAAAGCATTCCTTTTATAATTCCTAAATATGAATATAATTAATGGTAAATTAAATTTGTTGAATAATTCTAAAACATTTAATATACTTGTTAATTTTTTTATTTTTCAGTTTTTCAAACTGTAAATTATAATTGAACATACTACGTAAATAATTTGTTCACAAAAAATATAATAAATCATTAGATACTGTAATTTTTAAAAGAAATTGATTTAATAAGTAATAAGATAACATAGTAACAATAATAAGTTAACATAAACATTTACAATAAAACGACTCAGAAAAAAATTATATTGCTTAAATATCGATAAGATTTGATGGTGAAGTATGACATAATCAAATTTATTAATAAATTAATTTATGGTTATTATTAAATTCTGGTTTTTTAAATTGAATCGCCATCTAAAAAAAAAAAATATTAATTCAACTACAATTGGACTATACTAAGATAATAATTAATTTGAAGATAAATCCTAATGTTTTAATTCTTACTTTATTTTTTGACATGATGGTTTGATATTGAATTTGAGTATAATCAAATAACAAATAATTCATAAAATGATAAATTCTGTATTTTTAATTAACATTGTACCCAGAAAACGTAAATAATTTTTTTAAAAATTCATTAATTTAATCATTTCAGTTAAGAAAACTGAAAACTTTTGTATTTAGTACAAACTAAATTATTTAACTTTAAATAATATGTACTATAATATTTGATATTAATACAAGTACAAATTATGATATGTGAATCAGCTGTGTACAAAATATGTTTAATATAGGAATATAAGAAATAATAATGCAATATGAAATAAAAGCTATAATTAAAAACATGGTAATGAATAAGTAAAATAATTGGAAAATAAATTCATTTTTTATTTCAACAACACAAGCAAAAAAACAACAATTTGTTACTTAACATGAACACATCAGTTCTTTAACCATAAATAAATATAGAATTGTTATTTATAATAAGAAAACAAAATACAAAACACCAATAATTATAATACACAGTACACACATTGTCATGATACAAAAAAGCTTAGCAACTATTGTACAAATCAAATACCTACTTCACTCTTTTGAAGCGCTTGGTACTTGAAGAATCCTTCACCAGGCAATGGCGGCAAAAAGGATGAGGTATACCAAAGTTTATACGTTACGAACCATGTGAACATCGCCACAATGCCGGCCAACAGTTTTTCTGGCATAGAATGGAAGTACATCATGGTAGTAATGAGCATCAGTTCCCAAATGGAAACGAATAATGTAATGATGATAAATAAAACTTGGACAAAAGGTGTCATCTGTTTGTAGACGGTTTTCAACTTTTCCAAATCTTTGGTGGCGAGGCTACTGAACGTGGTGGCCACAGTCCTGCCCTCCATGCGTGCGTTTTCTTCCTTAAGCAGCACATCTTGGATTTTTTCCCAGCCAACAAACGGCCGCGCTTCGCTAATCATCACCAGCGTGCTGTAAATGAGTATGAAAATGTGACCAGATATGTCAAATGGCTTCCACACGTGTCCAGCCGACCGGCAGGCGGTGCGCGTGGTGTGACGGATCATCGAGCACTGGCCAAAGTACTCCTCGAGCCGGTTGAATGCACTAGTCCAAAAGTACCAGAAGAATGTGGCGACCGCTAACCGGACAGCATGCTTGGCGATGGTGGGCCGCGAATCCAGACACAGCACTTTGCCGCTGGCTACCAGGAACGATGAGGTGCACAACAGCGTCCAGAACCAGCCCAGCTTGACCAAGTACTGGTTGAGAAACGTATCGCTGTACGCAAAGTATATTCGCGGGAAGCGCACAAAATCACCGACCACAGAGCTGACCAGCAGTGCCAGGTATACGAACATGCGCCGGTGAGTGGGCAAGAACAGGTACTTGCGGCACCCGTACAGGAACAAAGTGAGGAATATGTTGGCGACGCTGGAGGGCTCATGGACTAGCAGCGTGCCCTTGGTCTCAGACCGCATGGATAGCCCAGGGATGAAATTGGATTCTATAGACCCCGAACGGCCGTTTCGCCTGTTGGTCATATCGGATGAACGGGGGTCGCGATAGTAGTAATCGGAACGGGTTAGGCGGAAAACGCTGGCGAGAAAAGAAGTGCGTGCAAGGGACAGAGTGGAAAGTAAAAATGGAGCCCTGCGGTTCTAAACTCACTCGTTACCGCCGTCACATCGTCCGACCTGCCAGCAACGGGTTATCGACCTGCGACACGCTATAACCACTGGGCTGCAATGAATGACAAGTACGCACTGACGTCCGCTTTCACCGCGTAATTACAAACCGACACTGTGCAGCGTCGTCCGCCACCGGCAGTATTCGTTATGTTATTATGATGATAAAGTAATAACAATAATGATAACTTTCCAACTTTCCATTCTTGATGCGCTGTTATCAGTCAACGCGTTACTAGACAATGATATCGCACGTTATCAGTATTGACGTTGCAGACGGATTTCTTACCAGGAAATGCGATAACACGCCACGTATCGGCTCCACTTGTGACACGCACGTGCACTTTTTGACAAAGCATATTTTTAGACTAGGTCCAAAGCGTATTATTAAAGTAGGGTTGTCATACGTCCCGGAAAACCGGGATTGTCACCGGTTTTGGACTTTGTGTCCCGGTGTTCCAAAAAATGTTTTCGGGACGTCCATATGTTCCGGCTTAGACGTTTAGAGGAAATGTAGTATTATTTAATTTTTAATTTCGACCATTTTATCTGAAAGTATATTTTTAATCGTTATCGATTAACAATATATAATAAAAACATAATTTGTAATTTACACAAATAAATTATACAATATATTTTATTTCACAAAAATATTTTTAAATAGTATATTTCCGGCCATTAATGATCCTCTTCAGTGGCGTATACATAAATTTTGTATAGAGGGGGATCATTTGCAAACAAATCATTATTTTTATTTTAACGGAAAGTAACGATAAGCGTAACGTCGTTATTTTTTTAGTAATGCGTTAACCATTGGTTTTTTATTTTTTAGATCCCTGATCTAACTCATTGGTGCAAAATCTTAATTTTATAAGAGGGCCACCAATAATTACGTCAAATGAAAAAGTTAACTAAAAAAGTATATTATTTATATTATTTTAAATAACTTTATATTTGTATTTTAGATTTTGTAAAACTTTAATATTGTATTTTTTTTGTTGGTTTTGTTATAACTAAATTAAAGAAATATTAAAATAACCTAAAATTAACGATTTCATTTATATGATTAAAATGTTTATTGTATATATTAAGTAAGTATATATTATAGACGTACATACTATTGATAGGAAGGGACGACTCATCGAAATAAATTGAGGGTTGTGAATCAAAGAAGGTTGCGTTACGCTTATCTAACCTATCCAGAATGCGAATTTTGTATAGCTAATTAGTTATGCTAAATTAAATCATTTTATTTTTACCATCTAAACAGCCATTATAATTTAAAAATTCCGGCACTTAATATATTAATATAAAGGTTTCAGTTCCTATTATTTAAAAGCTTTCGGTTCTTTTCGGTTCGGTCCTTGTTGGTACGTTATATGAAGATATTACCGAGACGGCGTAATGTATAGGCAAAAATAGTATATACATGTAATGGTGACGGTATTATATTGTATGTATTTGTTCAGGGATCGCGTTCGAACGGAGCAAAATTTATCTTGATGCAAAATAAAAACAATTGAAAATCGTATTCAAATTGAAATTTAATTTTTAATTTTAACTCATTATCAAAAAATCACTGAGGATATATGATCGGCATTGTCAATGAACGCATTTAAAATCATCTAACCTGAGGTTCACACTTAAAATTAAAACGCAAAACAATTAATAACTTTGTACTACCTACTTTATAACTAACTACATATGATTCATTCCATATTTAAATCTAAATTATCAATTCACACAAAACTAATTTTATACTTTTACTAATATTATTATTATTATTATTATTATTTTTATAATTTTATTAAAAATATATTTGTTGACCAATTATAAGATGACTTTTAGTTAAAATTGCTATTTCATTATCTTATAAATGATAAAAATAATTGTAATTAATAAAATTAGCAAATGAATATAACTTATAAATAAGGATATTTTATGTAAGACTATGTGCATGTCGAAAAACTGTTATATATTTATTTTAATTTTATGATGTATAATACTAAAAAAAAAATAATAGTAAAAAAAATATTGGTAGTCAATAAATAATACTTATTTTCTCAAAAAATTTTCCTTGTATTCAATTTTTTTTTTGGCACAATTTTTTGAAGGAAAAAATACTTAAGTACTAAGTACTTAAACTTAAGTATATAAAAATTAATTTATCAAATGTACATAATTGTACAATATTTTCACATATATAGAATTATCTGAACAGAGAATTAGAATTATCTAACAAACATTATGAAAATATTAAATTATAATTATTATTAAATTATGATTAACAACTCTGAATTATTCGTTGTGAAAGTGTGAAAGTTTCGTCTCCCAAGAACTTAATATGATAAATTAAAAAACTATTATATAATATTATCAGTAGATAATTAAAATGCGATGAACAAATAAAATCAATCGCAATAAAATACCTAAAATAAGGTAAAAAATTAGATTTAAAAATACATTTTGAGTGATGAACGTTTAACCATTAAGCCTCTTTCGAAGCGCATAGTACGTGAGAAACCTGAAAAGCAAGAGCGGGATGACCAATTTAATGATTTCGAAATATGGATGTTTCCTGTCCACGTTCAAGTAATAAATTATAATATTTGGGTCTCTAAAGTGACAATAACCAGTGTCACATTCTAACGGTTTCCTGTTCAAACCGAACACAGTGATCACCAGTCCCATAACTCCACACCGTAAGAAACTGGTTTGCATGATTATCTCCATGAGCCACGGTACCTGATGCGCAAAGTCGAACCCGTAAATGGCCAGACCTAAAAATGGAGCTATCATCATAGGACCAACCGCACTGCCATTCTATAAAAAATGTATTTTTCTTTTAGTTTTAATTTTATAAAGATTTTGAAACTAAAATTAAATATTTAAGTAGTAAAATATTTGTATCTTAAGCATCTTGGACAACTATTAAGCCATTGAACTAAATCTGAATTTTTTCTATGTATTATTATTCCTGACAGACTATCCATTCATTTATACAATGTAATTAGTACTACGTATTTTATTAATGTATGTTTGGGATCTATGATATTACTTTAAATTAAAAATAAGGAACATAAATCGTTTATTTAACATTTAAAGTATGAATAATTATTATTTATTCGACAATTTTAGACGATTACCATACCTACATACCATTTCGTGAAATTGACTGAATACTATACGTCGTAACATACACGTATAGTGAAGCACAATATAAATATATTATTTCTGATATCAAATTAATAATAATTTACTATTATAAGTCTATAATTTTTAACAAAATTATCATTATAATTTCACTTTCTAAATTTTAAATAAGTATAGCAGTGACTCAATATCGTTGGTTATTTTTACTTTTCCATAGGTTTTAAAATATTTTTTTTTTTTTGTATATTAATATAACAATTATATATATAATTGCTTTAAAACAATTACCGTCACGTTAAATATAGATCCCACGAATAGACCCATGCCTTCTGCAGCAAAACACACGAGTAAACAAATAATGCTGAACAGTAAAAACCGCAATGGTTCATGTGGTAGTCCAGACATGAAGTACACGAACGTCGTATAAATACTACTGAAAAATATCTGCACAGTGAAACAAAACAATTATTTATAAGTATACAACCACAAAAAAATTTAATTTTAAATATGTTGCTTAATATAGGGGTGATCAAATTGAAAACACATTAACAATGTAACAATTTATGATGACCGAGTGTCTTAAAATTTTAACAATCTTGCATATTTTATACAAACATTAATATAATATTGAACTCACGATAGACGGTACTCTTGATAACTGCAATGCTAAATAGTATGGTCTCAAACTATACCATCTGTTGAAGTATTCTTGTTTTAATAATTTTACTTCGGCTGGAACTGTAAATTTAAAGATAAAAATTGTATTTATTGGTTTGCACGTATATAAACGTAGATTTAGGGTAGGGTTATATGAAAATGTTTTTCCGAAAGCTATAAAAAAATCCTAATCTTAAAGTAATATATATATTTTAGGTAAATTAATTAGAGTGACAGTGGGTGCATGTCGCAAATTATTGGTGTAATTTCACCTATCTAAATTTTTAATCGATACTTATCCAATAACCATTAGTTCAGTATTCGATTTTTATGAATTAAGTATTCACAAAAACATTCAATAATAGAATTTGAAAGTAGGATATCATTTTCAATAAATGTTATAATTTAAATAAATATTCCTATAAAATATAACTATTGTAAAAGTGTGCTGTAATAACTTCAAAGTAATTTTTGCTGTATTATTTCCAATTAAGGCAAATTAAAAAAAAAAAATAAACTACAAAGTAAATACAATTTTTTTTTTAGTAATACATAAGTTCCAAAAAAAAAAAATAATAATAATATTATTTATGTTTATTAATAATATAATTATCGTAAAGTTTAAGTTTAAATGTTTGATACATACAAGCAAGTACTTGAACCATTGATTGTGTGAAGGTATGAAATAAGATATTGCCCATACAAAATTTCATGTGATTGAAGAACTGTGAACCGTCATTGGCTTTGTTGTAGAACACTATGCCCACCGCCAGGCCGCAAATTAGATGGTGGTAGAATTGTATATTTAAACCGATCTGTTATCACATAATGTAATAAAAAATAATTTATTTAATTGACGCTCATAAGAACATTATTATAAGAATGATCATATGGTTATGTATACAGTGTATATTCTCTACATTATATTTATATACCTTATTCCTATACATTTGTAAAATCATTCGCTTCCAAAGCGTACAGAACTGCGACCAACCGGAAGTTGGGAAGTCTACACACCACGTATTTCCATATTTTTCCACGGCTTTATTTTCTACTTCAGTGTAATTTATCGATGGAACTGGAAGTAATTTGCTGGTGATAAGGTTTCCATTAAGTTCCGGTAAGAGTAATTCACCTGTAAATACTTATTATATTACAACTGTTTAAATAATACTGAAAAAAACAATCGAGAAGAAAAAAAAATATCTTACTAAAAAAACATTTTCAAAATTTTTAATCAAAAAAGACGAGACAACAAATACAGAGGAAACCTACAAAGATAACTTAATGATATAACCTAATACATTTTTCGTTTCAAATCAAAATATAAAATTTTAAACTTAACCTAACCTGAGAACCTTCCCCATAGACGCAAATGAAAATGATCACGTGATTTTATCATAATTATAAACTACATTGTGTTCATATTGAATGTAGCGTCAATGATGATTTCTCTCATGCTGTTCAAACTAGTTTCAAAAATTGTCAACACAACTACTCATTATATTATATGTATACAGATTGTATATTTTCTATATTTAAATTAATAAAAAAAAAAATTAATGCTTTCGCAAAATCGAATGAACTAGCTTAGAAAATAATTCAAATAATATTTTAAAGAATATATTTTTGTAAAAAATATATTTGGATAAGTTTCATTCCAACCCATACGAGTATTTAGCTCACAGCATTCCACTACTATATGTATATAATTTAAATATGTGGTTTTTAATATAATATATTATATACTTCGACACGCATTTCATTGTACGATATTTTGATAATATGTACCATATTGTTTCTGTAACGATTTTGATAAAACTGCCGTGTATCATTACCATTGGTCGTTTCCTCAGCCACGGGACATTTGGTGAAATCCTTCAACGCATTGTACAGCGACAGCTTGCCGTTCATCGTGGCCGCAGTCAATTTGGCGATGTTGTTCTGGTCCTCGCCATCGGTCGCCTCGATTATGTAGTCGGCTGGGTTATACGTCAGCGGGCAGTGCAGCCCGACGGTGGACAGGAACGGCACTAGTTGATTCGTGGTGCCCTGGTATACGCAGTACCCCTGGGACAGTACGTATACATGGTCGAACAGCTGGAACATGGTGGCGCTCGGCTGATGGATGGTACAAACGATGGTACGTCCCTGGTGCGCGAGCCCACGGAGCAGTTGTAAGCAGTACGTACTGGACACGTTGTCCAATCCACTGCGGAAGTCCAACAGGAATTATTATTATGGTTTTGATATCAGTCATATATGTGCATAAAGACGCGTTTAGTCATATCAATAGCGCGTGTTTATGTATATCCGTGCACCAAGCACGCTCGCGCGATTAATGTGGTTACAAAGTAATCGGTCGACCGCAAAGGCAAGTTCGGTTTAGAGAATGAACAGAGGGGGTTTTCAACTTCTTTGGCGTGATGAGAACAAAACATTGTAAAATTTCCAATAACCTTATTAAGTAAGTCTTGCAATTGCATTTAACCTTTTTTTTTTTACTTTTTTTATTACATACAATTTATAAGAAAAATTTTATAATAAGCATGTTTGTTGATTATTTATATATTGGTTTGATTGACGTGATAACCACCTAGTAGCAACAAATATTTGCAACTAAAATTAAATAAATTTAATATTCGATAATTAGTTTTTTATATTACCGAAAAACAGAATAGCAACAAAATAAAAAAATATATATATAAGACATATACTATATATTTATATACTTAATATAGCTATAAGACATGTCATTCATTTATTTTTAACAGTGTATACCTTTAAAGTGATATTTAGTAAATGACATCAAATGTTAGAATAATTAATAACACACATTTTAGTCATAGGTGTAAATACATATATTTTTGAATAAATTATAATGATTATTGAAGACCTTCATATATGATTTTTCGCTTGGTATTATACACTTCTTGCTGATAATAAACCAGAAATAGGTTGGTATTATAATAATAATCACTATAGAATTAAAATATCTATTCGAATCACACAATTTATTATTATTAGTACGTACCTTGTTGGTTCGTCGAGAAATATGATTGGTGGATTATTAATGAGTTCCAGAGCGATGGACAAACGTTTTTTTTGGCCACCTGACAAAAATTCGGTCCTCGTATGTTTGCTTCCAGATAATCCTAAGACATTTTGGATTTCTGTCACCTATTTAATTTAAAAGTTATTTAATTATACAAGTACGAAGTATAAATAGAATCATAACATTTTCTAAAAGTACATAACTATAAAGAGAGTATGAAGCAATGTTGAATTTAAAATTTAAAAATTAAATTGATTTTAGTTTTATGTATTCATAATAATATGTTATTAAACATTGTTACATTACTATTTAAGATTTTTTTAGAGATTATACAATAACATATATTTTTATTTTTGTATGTTCGTGAGCTAAACATATTAGGGTGCTTTAATTTTATTAATTTATAAAGAGTAAGCAATTGTACTGAATATGCTCCCTGATTTCCTGTGACCACAAAGATAAGATAATGCTTGGGAGTTTCAAATTTTTTAACTTTGCTGCACTTGCAACTGATTAAAATTTGAAGAAAAAAAATAATTAAAAATAGGAGGATTCAAACATCTTGACCAGTATAATCCTCTCACCCTATAGTTTATCAAGGAAAGTGTCAATAATTATTTATTATATCTACTAAAATTCTTTAAAAACGTATTGTAATATAATTTTTGCATAAAAATAAAATTTGAACCTATATTATGGGATTGTTTTTTAAATTACATTTTCCAATAGTTTTTGCTTACATTTTTAATCTATAACGTAATCATTTTTTTTTTTGAACTGGTTGTTCGTTAAACTATTTATACATTTGAGTCAGCATACTAATTAAAAGAGTACTTGGACATATTTTCAATAGAATATTTGAATATTACTGTTGTAACTATTTTGTGCTTAAGAATAAAGTTACAATGCATTCCTTGCAAACACAATTATTAACCCTCGTTTATTTTATATTTAATAATTTTTTATATACTCACGATAATTTGTTTTTCTTTAGTCAGTGTACTATTGGATAATTTAAGCTCCGCTGCAAACATCATCACTTCATTGAGGGTCAACATAGGCTGAATTTTGTCTTCTTGCATTATGTAACATGATAACTTACGAAACAACTTCTCATCTCGTATTTGACTGTTTATTTTTAAGGTTCCACTAACACCCTTATAACTTAAAAATTATTTACCATATTAGTCAACATATATATTTTTAATATACTTAAATATTATGAAATGGAAGTGTACATAGTCCTAGGAAAAAAAATTGGGCCCCTCTGATTGATCTTCTAAAACTATTATCCGTTAAAATATAACCCTAGCTTATAATTTAACTAAAGATTTCAAATATGATACATTTTAACTAACTGTATTCTTATAAATAATACATGAATAATATTGTTACCAAATTAAATTGTATTATCCAATGAATGACGAATGTTGTCACCGTGATTGTATTTACATTCACGACAATAATTGTCGTAAAAACAAAATAGAGTTATTATAATATCAAATAATATACTGTAAAATTATGCTAAGTAAGGTTAAGTATTCAAGGGTAATGTATTAAAATATATCTATAGTCAAATATTTTCACATTATAATATAATAGATAATATTATGACAATCGTTTAATTATTGCATAGATAACTTCGTATTAATATTAATCTTTAATTTGATGAATTGATTTAATTTATTAATCTATTTAAAGGTGTACCTATATTGTTGTCATAAGTATGCGCAGACTTCAACTTCCTGTCGAGCCTGAATACAATTAGTGCCCCAATACTTAGACAGTACCCCTAATTTTTTTTTAACACTTCAACATAGTAGATTTTGTTGTAAATTAAAAATAATGTAGTATTTATATCTGTACATAGAATCAAATATTATACTACTAATTTTTAGACATATATTTTTGAAGTTAAAAGTAAAATTTTAAATTCTTTAAAATCAAATGATATAAATACAATTACTTGATTTCCACGAAACTATTAAAATACATATATATAGACATTTTACTATAGTTAGTTTAAATTTTACTATGTCCCCAAAAAAATTCCGATCAAGCCGGGGCTTACCCAGCTCGCCCCGTGCGCAAGCCTATGATTGTTGTATGGTTTTTACTTAAAAATGAGCTTTAATTTTAGCTATTTTCAACAAAAATGTTTGAAGATTCATCATATAATTATAAAATAATTTCTGAAACATATCGTTCAATAACAATTTATGATGCAATTTCAAAGTGATGGTACTTATAAGTACCGTTGGTCGACAAAGGGTTAAGCCTTTTATTTATTATAAAATACATATTTACTATTTATTATGATCATTTACAATAGATTCACTTAATTTACTTTATAAAATGATAAATCTTATTATGCACCTATTATAAACAAGAAATTCTAAAAAATTAATAAGTATTTTATTTTTTGCTAAAACTCCCTTGGACCATATATATTAGTATATACTAGAGGCTTGCTCAGGATTTTTTATTTAGGGGGGGGGATATGAAAATGTATTAAAAGTAGAGCCGTGGAGCCCAATCTCCCCCATAAACCCCTTTTTATATAAAAACATCATACATTAAATAAAAATTGAAAAATACATTGTTAATTTAAATATTAAATTTACAAAATAATATCGAGTTTTTTTGATTTTTGAGCCATCATATTAAGAATTTCTTTGGCATCAATTGAGATTTATCTATGAACGAACAACAATATCAAGCCGTTAAGGCGATTCGATGAATGACATCAAATTATGAAAAATATGAAGTTATAATATTAATTTTTCAAAAAAAATTATATTATATTACTTCGTTTAATTTTGATAAAAAATAAAAATACAAGTTAGTCATAACTCGTCAATACACTATACAAATCGCTGAAAATAACTGATAAACACCAATATGTTAGCACTTATTTAATCGATGGTAACGTGAAACTAATTTATTGTTTAAATTTTACATCAATATAATATAAGATTACAGATATTAATCTGTACCCGTGGTCTGTAATCTGTTATTTGTGTACCAATTGTAATTCGCATGGAAAATTATATGGAGTCGAAAAAATATTTACTTATTTAATTTTCATTCAAATATAAATATCACTTATCAGTTAATCGTGGAAATCCATCTGCCCCCCAAAAAAAAAAAAGGCCACGAGAACGCCCATGGTACATACTAATATCAATTTAATAAACTTTAATTTTTTTATTTCGTAAAGATTCTTACATCCACCTATTGTGTATACGAGATACATTATCCAGTATTTATTTTGTCCTAAATTGAATGTGTTTATAGTTTCATTTAGATCAATTTTATTTTAATTGGACAATATAGCATTTATTATTATCATGTTTTATTTATAAATCATAAGTTATCATTAGATTTTAAACTTAAAATTTAAAATTGTTGATGAATGGTGTGATACTTAATTTGATTTCATAATTAACTAAAGTTTAAGCAAAAAGAGCAAGCGGAAGAATGAAAAATATAAAAATAGATAAAAGCAGACTTGTTGTACGGTCGGTATTAAATTAAAATTTGAATTACCAATTGTTTTTTTTTTATATTATAAATACCTTAAATACCACTTAATTTTAACGCTTAGAATTATATTTTACTCCTTGAATGAATTCGCTTTTAATTTTCATAATATCAGCAATTCGTGTATAAAAATATATGTAAATCCATAACAATATATTTAAGATAATATTTAAGATAATAATTTAGATATAATAGGAAATCTGATTAATAACTAGATGTGAATTAATTAATTTTATTTTGTTCTCAAAAATAATTTGTTAGTTAACAATATATGTAATAACAAATAGCAAATTAATAGATTACTAAATTATTATATTAGTAAGGTCTTATAAATGAAACGTAATTCAATCAATAAATAAAATACATAATATAATATTACAATGCAAAATTATGCTTACTTATAACCAGATAATGCATTTAATAAACTGCTTTTTCCTGCGCCGGACGGACCCATAATACACGAAAGCTCACCAGCTGCAAATCGGCCATTTACTGATTTCAATATGGTTTTTGGTGGAACTGTAACAGAATATCAATCAAATTAGTTCATATTTTGGAACTTCTGAGTAAATAATAATATAAAGTTCTATAGGATTTCAAAAAAAATCTGTAACATATATATATATAGTTACATTTTTAAACATTTTCGAACATTAAGTCTTAGTATCAATGAGTCAAATACGTATTTAAATTTAATACACATTTCTAACTCGTGCTTTTTTTTTTTGTTATTCAAAAAACTGAAATAATTATACATAATTATATACACTATAAAACTATATGTTTACGTATAATCATAGTTTATTTAAATGTGCGCCCCCCAGGTTGAGAAACACTGATGTCGATGATCATCATGAAAAATATTTAAAATCAAATCAAATTAATATGGCATGTAAACAAACTACTCGAAATTACAAACTTGTTTATGCAAAACTGATCTGACGTAAAAAGTGAAAGCAAATTGTTTCAGATATTTCATATTTTCCATAGAAACCCAAATAATTATATCTAGCATAGTCCAATGTAACAATATCGGTTATATCTTTCAAAATAAAATTCAGTTCATGTAAAATTAGAATCCGTCTTATTCAAACTAGGTAATTTATCAAAATAATTAAAACATCTTATTCGAAGTATTCAAATAAAAAATAATGTATGCATTGTTTAATTATTTATATAATTTGTATAAAGTAGTTATAAAATTACGCGATCTTTAATTTAATTTGTTTTTATACGTAAATAAAAAACATAAAAATAAAAAATTATAATGTAAGTAACCAAAAATATACATTTGCTTCATAAATAAATAAAAATCAATCATTCTTCTTAAAATAATTACATTTACACCGAATTTTGTGATATCAAAATAGTAAATTATTTATTTATTTAATTATTTAACACATTAGTTTAGGTTATTTATTATTATTTTTAATAATATAAGAATAAATTTAATAACATATTAAATAATTTAACTTAAAGTTAAACTCCGATCATTAAAATCATATGAAAACAATTCTGATAAGAAATGTTCTCTAATTGGTACTTTAAAAAAGAATCATTATGTGAATATCTTAACAATCTTTTAAATAATTGTGAAAAACTGACGAAAAGTTAAAGAAATTATAATAAAATTTATGACATACCAACTTTCAATAAAAACAAATTTTCGTTTTCATCGTAACTCAAAAAATAATAATCGAAGAGACATAACATTTTCAATAAATGATTAATAAAATGCTTATATCACAGTTTGCTACGGATAATATAATTTCCAAAGATTGTTTTTAAGCTATTTATAGATTATTGAAATTTTTTTGTTTCTGGGCATATTCGATGATAGTATAATTTTGGTTTGATAAAAAATCTTAATAATGTATAACAATGTTTCTTATATGCGTATAACTATTACTGATTAATGTAAAAATATTGTGCTTGATTCAAAAAAAAGTTCAATCAACCTTATTAAGAAATTTTAGTTTTCTATAATTTTAACCATATTTGAAGATGTAAACTCATCCACTCTTCCTTTTTCACTCAGAATAATTTTTTTAGTGGTAAATTGGCTTCAAGTTTAAAATATCAATGATCCATACCTGTATTTCACCTGGCTGTGAAGTCTCTTCTAAACGAAGAAATTTACCTTTTTTTTTTTTGCAATTACTAATGACATCTATATTAAATAGAAAACTTTATTTGATATTCATAATGGAATTTCTGATCGAAACCGTCTTCATAGACTCAAAAAATTAAAATTATGATAAAATCAGTAACTTTCTCATCTGTATCATTCAATATTTATCAGTATTAATTCTATCAATTTATAGTTACAGAAAATACAGTAAGAAAAATAGTCAAAAATCTCATTGCATTATGAAATCATGTACTTATAATGCCTATATTCATAATATTCTGTAAGTGTTAATTAAACCAAGTAGTCTAGAGAAAGTGGATATCTTAAAAACTATTAATAAATATTTTAATATTTATTATTATTAATTATTAATAAAAAAAGAACAGCTAACAAATCACAAATATACTATTTTACTAAGATAAACTACGGCCGTTTGAAAATGAAAAGTATATTCTTTTAATGATAAAAGAAAGAAAATTCAAGTAATTAGTTCTGTTTCAATAAAATTTTAAATATTATAAAATCGAATTATAAATATTTAACTATACCTATATATCAATTAAGTACTAAATTAATATAATTATACAAAATTAAAAAATAATATGGTTAGTGAGAAATTATAATATACACCAGCATTTCCCAAACTGTGGTCCGCGGACTCTTAGGGATCCGCACGTATACCGGAGGGGGTCCGCGAACGTAAATTTAAAATGTATAAAGTATTATTTTTTATTATTGTTTTTTAATTTTTATTTGTACTAAGGGGTCTGCGATCATTTTTATTATCTCTAAGGGGTCCGAAAGAAAAAAAGTTTGGGAATCGTTGATATAGACATACATTAGCTTTCAAAGTTATAAATGACAAGAACTTTTCTCAATAAAAAAGTTAAATTCCTAACCTCTATTCGATCAATACGCGGTTTATTATACTTATTATTACTTTATTATACTTATAATTTCTACTAATGAATTTATTTGATTGCAAATAACCAATTCGAAGACAGCTAATATAATAATATAAGCGTATTAGGCAATAGATACATCACATTTTTTGTAATAGTATCGTGAAATATTCTGGTTTACAGCAAACAGGTCAATAATATTTAACATTGGTTCTCAAATAAACCTATTCTTGTGTAATGTATAATAGTACTTACCTTTTAGAAAATAAAAACACTCCATCAAGTGTAAGTATTTATTTTTTGTATTAATGTAATATTTAAAAACGATTGGTTTGTATATAGTACTTTGAATTCACGTTATAATGTATGTTGCATACATTTAATCAAAGCACATAGTATAATACTTCCATTCATTTAATAATAATTGCCGAATTAACAGTAATAATTACGATTCATGGATATTATTCCTATTACTAGCTATCCAATCATCGTTTATTGTTTTTGGTGTAGATAGGTCAAAATTAATCTGTTAGCCGTAACAGGTTAAACTAGTTTTGTATTTATTAAATAAGTCTCGCATTGAACTTAAGTCATATGACTGGCGCAAGGATAAAGAAGGAACTCTCACTTTCATTTTACTACATGTCTTACGGTATGCAGCAACTGTCTGCCTTATATTTTATTACGACGCTATATATACTCGTATAATACCTATGCACTACGTGTATTTATCAATAGTCAAGTGTAAACAATGAACATTTCACTTTCTCAGTTTGATCCAAAACAAATAAATTGATTTATATAAGCTCTATCGGTCAGAAACTAATAAAATTAAATTACAAAAGATTATAGTCAGTACTTACAAAAAAAAAAAGTAAATAACTTAGAGACGCAACTTGTACGCAACTTAAATTTTAAACTTCATCAAATCACTTCAAAACCTCTCGTTACATAGCAAATATTTTTTATAAACTAGTTTCCAGCATAAACAAACGTACTTTTTTGAATATTTTAAAACTTGTAATGTCACGAATTTGATTAGTCTTCAGTTTGATCAGTTTATTAAACATTTTTTTTAAGTTTTTTTATTTTTTATTATCAAAAGAACTTCGGCGTCATAAACCATTGGTTGTAAAATATACACTATACATTTGTGTTTACCTTTAAATATATATAATATCTGTATCAAAAGTACTACTTATAAATGCGTATGAGATATCCTTTGCAATCATTTTGGCCCAAGTTGTCAACTCAGCTTTCACATTAATTAAAGAAATCTGATCAAATAAGTTTTACTACAAAAAATATATTCTGTCATCATGATCACATAATTCTCGGCTTGCTAGTTTCCAGTTTTGTATGCGATACACAACCGTGTTGGTGTTCATTAATTATTTTATGCTATTTAATATTTACACCATTTGAAAGGCTCTTTTTAAATAGCCATCTTCGAGATGGAATCACCCATACGAAAAAATATTTGCAGGACTTTAAATTTAGTTTTTAAAACTAGAAACGACTCCTCAAATTTTTTTTACAGTGTGAAATATTAATTTGAACATTAGCATGTATATTTAATATTTTCTTTCTCATACATTATTGATGGCTGTAGATGGATGTCAACAGTATTTATCCGATTTAGTATCGTTGTATTGTAATATATACACAATGTGATCACGATTTCAGGACCCAATAAATATCCCGGTTGGGTAACCTTATATTAAAATTAATATTTTGGAGGGCTCAAGAGGCATTGAAATACACATTTATTGATAATTTTCGAATTTTTAACTTTTAAAGATTCATGCATGCACAATATAACTAACTTTTTTTTTAATGGCAACTAAGTTTTTCTTCATTTTCGGAAAGACAATTTTACTAAAAAAAAAATTTTTTCTATTTTTAAAATTGATTAAATAAAAGTAAGATAAAATTTGAAGTTGTGCATAGTTGATTTTTACAAAATTTCTACATAAATTAACAAATTATTAAAATTAGTGTCAAAAAATTTAACTTAATTTTTAGTACACGATATTTTGTAATTAATATAATAAAAAACTAATTATTTATAAAAAATTAATTAGGTATATTGCTCGCGAAGTTGAGGTTTCATATGGTTATGTCCAAAAGTCAAAAAAAAACATTATATTCACCCAAATAAAATAGATTCTGTACAACATTTGCATACAAGAGATTTTATTATTAGGTTGAAATGTATAGCATATTCAAAATGATATTTTAATTGTTAATTACATTCTTTGGACTAGAGGTCCCTATTTCACGTGTAATTAAATTGACAGATACACGTGAAATTAAAATTCACGTATCCTATAAGGTGAATATGTGAATTTAATTACACGTGAATCTGTCAATTTAACTTCACTTGAGTCCGTGAATTGTATTATTAAATCACGCGTTTATAATTACATTTGAAATTTTATTATTACCGGTTCGAAGTACGAACTTCTTACTATTCATAGAAATAT